GGGTACTGAATCTGGTACCCCCCAAGACCTGCCTTGCTGCCTCTTCCTGTACACAGCTTCCTTATACACTATTTCTATTTCAAATAAAATCTTTATTTTCAACACTCTATATTCAGAATACACCTAAAACTATAGCATAAGGACGACTACTGGGAGTTCTACTTCTCTGGCTTAATAAAACTGTATTTATAAGTCAGCTAAATCTTACACAAACAACCAACAAAACTGCTTTGGAAGCCTGGTCAGGCCTGCAGAATGAAATCCCACAAAATCAATACACATTTCTATACATTCAGTCCCAAGTTCATAGCACTCTTCTTTTGACCATGCTTTCACTAATGGAAAAAAAGATAAACACATATCAGCATGTAACAATTTAAAAACTCTCACAGAAGCTGCTTCTCCCCTATGGGAAAGAAGATGAGAGAGAATAAGACACACATGACATACCTGCCACAGCTACTTAATGCACATCAAGCCTAGAGATGCCATTGCAGTGAGGGCAGGGCGGAGAGCCTAAATATGGTCCTGTGAAGGAAGATGTGAATAGACAGAAGTAATGGCCTAACAATGAAAGGAATGAAAAGAAACACCACAGGAACTAAAATACACATTGGCTGTGATACAAACAGTAGGAGAAAATAAAAGCAAAACAAGGAGAAAACCTTACTTTGTGGACAGTGAATTTATGTGAGGTGAAAGCAGACCTAATTCTGCCTCTTTCAGAGATTGATGGAGGCTTCCTTAAGTAGCGAGAAATAGAGGAGAGAAGGAGGTTAAGTGCATAGAGCACGAATTCACTGTATAAATGCACCCTTTCACACAGTGTCTCAAAAGCCAGCTCTATCAGGCTACTTAACTCAGTGGAACTGAACTCCCAGCTTCTTCATCAACTCCAGGCTGCATCAAAAACATCACCAAGAATGTCCGAGGGTACCATTTCAACATACTGCCACTTGCAATACACAAAAGGACAGGAATCAAGCTCCTTTTCTTGAATGACAATTAAGAGGGTAAGAGAATAAAATAAAAATCTAAGGATTTTCTGTTAACAGCAACTTTACTCATCTGCTATTAATAACAAATTCCAATCCCCTCTGCAACTTAGTGGTATTTGTTAGAACTGCTGCTGATACTCAAAAAAAAAAAACACCTTGCTGCCCAGTTCAGACCAGTAAACTATAAACTACTCCTCTCTAAAACCACCAGAAATACAGATTAGTAGCATGAGGACAGAACATAACATATTAATTAACCTTAGGGTAATTAAACCTTTTCACTTCTTTCCAGAGTAAACAATCCCAAGATATATTTATTCTGGTCACTTATCAGACCTCCAGGATAGGCCAAATGAGGAGATAAGCTGTTAACAGCAAAAATCATCCAGCAAATTTCTTGCTCAGCTGTACAGCTTCTCTTCTCATTCATCAAGACTGGGAAGTAGTCAGCAGTGAATCAGAGCTGGCAGCGGGGAGACAGCCCTGATGCTGTGCAAGCAAGGGTCAGCAGTTTTAGCCACAAATGCAAAGCACAGCACTGTAGGGGCTGCTATGAAAGTTAACCTCATCCCTGCCAGACCCAGCACAGACCTAAAGCCAAAGTAAATTCAGCTTCTCAAAGGGTAATGAGTATCCTCACACCAATGTTTTTCCAGAGTCAGTTCATTTCTGGAAAACTTGTTCTCCTCTTCTATCTGGCATTTTTCATACCTTTATCTATGGTTTTATTTGGTTGTAGAGCTCCTTTATTGTTTTCCTCAGGATAAGAAACTAATTTAGCTCAGATGCTCTAAACTATAACTACTATGTTTATATTACTATTAACAACTGACATTCAAAATTACCTTGGGTACAAAACTAAAGCAGTACTTTACATTCAAATCCCCTTGTTTCCCCTTAAAGCAATAACTTCACCAGAAATAGAAAATATCAAGCTGATTTTCTTTTGGGCACCAACAAGAAAAGTTAAAGAGAATTTCTGGTAATTTATAAATCTGTTCTGATGTGCACGTATCAGCTGTTACCATTTTGTATCACAGTAATTCAAAAAATAAAAAAATCAAGCCTTCATGCAACAGACCCAAACACTTCCAAAATATCTTTCTTGACTAACTAGCAAGTCATAAAAGTCTATCTTAGCCAGTGGAAGAGGAACTCTCCCCCTCCTGCTCCCCATTACCCCTGTGACACATCTGTCATTTTCATCCTGAGAACATTTCCCCCATTATGCCAGAAGTACTCATGTAGTGTTTTGAAAGATTTATACCATTTAATTTTAAAGTAAACACAGGATGTGTAGAGTTCTCCATGCTTCTGTACAGCTTCTTCTAAATTCAGCTGGAGTTTTCAGACAGGATACTTGATTCAGTGGACTAGAGGAATAATATCTGACTCAGATGCCATTAAACAGAAATATATGCTCTATGATCCTAAGGATCTACCTTGTAAGCATGCAGATGAAGTGACAGATGTAGATCTTTACTAAATATGTAGAGGTTTAGAACAAGGGAAGAAATAAAAGAATCAGTTATACACCTTCACCCATGAAAAAACAATTATCTTCTAAGAATAATGCATAGCTTTGAATTACATAGTTAAAGGACCTAGAGATGCATTTCTGTTTTGAGAAAGAGTCAGGTGATAAAGTTGATGAAAGACAGCAGTGTCATGAACTGGAAGACAATCTACTGTGGAAGGACATCTACAAATGAATTTATCATCTTCATAAAAGTTTGTACCATAAAAGTTTAAAATCCATTTCAATTTCTTTACCCCTCAACAGAGCTCTTAGGAAACACAAAAATAAAAACCATGGCTAGGTCTATTCCCACGGAAAGCAACTCACAAGCAGAGCCATTCTTTACTACCAGCATCTAAGATGTACATATAAGCAAATGGCTGTCTTACAGAGGAAACTGAGCATTTAGTCTGGGGGAATCTTGGGGAAAAAAAGAAAGGGGTAGTTATTTTGCTCAAAAGCATCTGTTTCTATTACCTTTAATACTTCAGTGACATTCCCTCACTGGATACCCTTGGGAATAGTAAGAGTGAAGTATTTTTCTATGTTGTTTTATTACTGAGTATTCAGGGTTGGTTTTTGTTTGTTTGGGTTTGTTTTGTTTTGTTTTTCTTGGTGTGCTGTTAATTCAGGATCTTCTCATACAGTTCTTTTCAAAAGCTACTGTTTAAGAGTAATACTTAAAGATAACCCATATTCTTTTTAGCAAACAACTTAGAATCCGATGCTTACTACAGCCATTTACGGTATTTTACCAAGATGGAACAAAAGATATAGCCAAAGATTAGTAAGAGATAAAATAAACAGTGCTGTTGATAAACCTTTGCATATTAAATGGCAATTAGAGTAGAAATAATTCAATCTTAAAACGTCTGAAAACTGGCCACCACAAAAACTGGCTGCCCTAGGCCTAGCTGGGTGCACACTCTGCGGGGTCGCACGCTGGCTGGACGTTCAGGCCCAGAGCTGGACATGCTGGACCCATGGGCCACGGTCACCTGTATGAGCCTTAACAGGGCCACGTGCCGAGTCCTGCACCTGGGCTGCAGCAATCCCAAGCAAAACACGTGGGGAGGAGTGGCTGGAAAGCTGCTCGTCAGAAAGGGACCTGGGGGTGTTGACTGACAGCTGGCCAACCATGAGCCAGCAGTGTGCCCAGGTGGCCAAGAAGGCCGATGGCATCCTGGCTTGTGTCAGGAACAGAGTAGTCAGCAGGACTAGAGAAATGATCGTCCTACTGTACTCAGCACTGGTGAGGTCACATCTTGAGTACCAGGTTCAGTTTTGGGCCCTACAGTACAAGAGGGACATTGAAGGTCTGGAGAGGGTGCAAAGAAGGCAAACAAAACTGGTGAAGGATCTTGAGGACAGATCTTATGATGAGCGGCTGAGAGAACTGGGGTTGTTTAGTCTGAAGAGGAGGCTGAGGGGAGACCTTACTGCTCTCTACAGCTACCTGAAAGGAGGTTGTAAGGAGACAGGTGTGGGCCTCTTCTTACATGCTTCAACTGACAAGAGGAAATGGGGTTAAGTTATGCCAGGGGAGGTTTACATTAGACATTAGGAAAAACTTCTAAGAGAAAGGGTGATCAAACACTGGAACAGGCTTCCCCAGGAAGCGGTTGAATCACCAACCCTAGACGTATTTAAAAGCTGTCTAGATAGGGTGCCCAGGGATGTGGTGAAGAAGTGGCCTGGTAGAGTTAGATAATGGTTGGACTTTATGATCTTGAAGGTCCTTTCCAACCATAGTGATTCCGTGATTCTGCGATCTCCATCCTCTATTTTATTATTTACTCTTTCAAAAGGCTTCACAGCTCTTTCTATAAGACTAAAACTAGTCTATTACCTGAAAAAAAAAAAGTAAATTTTTTCACCAAAAGTGTCTGGCAGCTAGTGCCTTATTAAACATCCGTGTGTCACCTCTTCGATTAACTTCAGAATTTGCCCTGTAACTGCTTTAATCACAGGCCATGAATAAGAAGCAAAGCTGTGACATTTTAAAAAAATAAATAAATAAAAAGACACTTGTCAAAGGAAATCAACAAACTCATCAGTGAATGAGGAGGACAAATTTTCTAAACACCATATGTAAACCTAAATACAAAACACACCTCAAGGCAGACTCTGGAAACTTTGAATAGCACCATTCTTGTTGAAATAGCCACTTGACTCTTCGTAGGAAGTACTATATAACATTAGTACTGCAAGGTGACAGCATAAAGCTATGCTTGTTATACTCAGTGTTTATAAGCTGCTTTGAAGACTGATAGTGATATTACCTTTCAAAAACTCTTGCACAAACTGTGAAATACTTGTCTGTATACAGCACTGTAGAAGAATAATTATGTGTAAGTTAATGGGCTGGTCACAGTGTTAAGTCCGATCAGCTTCTTAACAGGCTTAACTCATGTACAGGCTTTTTAGAATAGTTTTAATGCCACACATTAATGAATATAGTTTCAAAAAGAAAGAGTACTAACCCTATAGAGAGGGTGGCATTTGTCCTTGAAACATGGTGCCAAACGAGCATAGATCTGCAGGCTATAGTAATAACTTGCCAGCTGGAGAGATAACGCAGAATGTAATTGCTTTTCAAAGCATTTGTTGGCATCTACCACCTAGGAGAAAGAGAGCATTAATTTAGATGAGAGAATTAGCAAGCTTACAACATTAAGTGCACAAACTTTCTAAAGAGCTACTTGCTGCGATTTAGAAATAGCTTTATGTTTTTCTGGCACAGAAGTAAATCAGTAACCTACATACACAAAGATAATTCTACATTATTACGCTTTTACCCCCTTGCACAAACAACTAACCAAAATGATTTTCCAAGAAATGTTTTGCTGCTTCCATACCACCAAGTTATTACCCATATTTCTGAGCTACATTAGAACTGTCAGTCAGGTGGCCCAACTACTATTTTAAGAAAGAAAACAGGTCCCTGCGTCAGAGCCATGCTCATAAGCCAGTCCAACAGCTTTTCTTCAACATCTCCTTTAATTGCATCAGTCCAATTTACAGAAATGAGTTTATAAAATATTTGAAAGACTTAAGATTTTTAAATCCTAAGGAAATTACATTTTCTTATGGAATTTTGAAGTGCTATGAATAGTCTTTCCTAGCAAAAACGTACAAACAAAATCACTATCAACCTACCTGTGGCAGTGCAAGTAGATAGGCAAGAGACAAGGCCATATCATTTGGTAAAGCATCACTTGCCAGCTGTAGCAGAACTGCAACATACAGGGAGTGGAAAAAAAGCTTTGATTACTGACCCATCTAGCCTTGACAATTAGCACATGAAATGTTTTCAGTGTAACCATATTTTATTAGATACTGACTTGAAGCACCTCTATACATAATTAAACACTTATCAGTGCAATCCAGAAACAGATAAATGTAATTAAACTGCAGCACAGCTTTACCCTGACTTCCAGGCAAAGTGTTTGATGCATTAACCAAACAAGAATGAGACTGTGCAGTAACAGATGCTAAAGACAGCCACTAAAGTATCACCTGTACTGATTTACAACAAGTAAATCTTTTGCTTGTAAAATCAAGGCAGTCATGTTCTCTGTTTGAAGATACCAACCACAGGATTGGTACAAAATGCCTTCTCTTCAAGCCTAAGCTCTCATTCACTTATCACTGAACACAACAAACCACATTAAAAACTTCTGTCTTAATAAACAAGAAAAGCTGCAAGTGTAATGAATATTAAATAAGACCAGTGAAACACAAAATTCAGATCCTGCAAACAGAAATAACAGTATGACAGTCAAAATTAATACACTGAGGAATATTTATTCTGATTACAAAATCATACTGGTAAAACTGAGAAAAAATTAGCTGCTTTTCCTACATTATAGGTATCAAACTTAGGCTTGTTTTTAAAAAAAAAAAAAATCCACTGTATTTTACATTACACAAGTAGAAGCAGCAATAAACAGACACAATGTGAGTGTGCAAGATTTGTTAAAGAGAAACAGGATCTCTCCCTCATGCAGTTATCTCCTCCTGAAGTCAAGCATCACTGCTGCCTCTACAGAAGTTTCAACAAACAATTAGAGCATATAAATTCACATGATACATTTAATATTCAGGTTTGGGGATAGAGAATGTCAATTTTTATTTCCAAGGACTTCAAAAATCTCAAGAAACCTGGACCAGAAATTGCGTGGGAGCTGAGGACTGGAATATCTCTCTTATGAGGAAAGGCCAAGAGCCCTGGGCCTGTTCAGCCTGGACAAGAGAAGACTAAGAAGCAACCTCCTCAATACTTATAAATACCTAAAGGTGTCAAGAGGATGTGGCCAGTCTCTCTTCAGTGATGCCCAGTGGTAGGACAAGGGGCAATAGGCACAAACTGTAACATGGGAAATTCCACTTTAAACATAAGAAGCAGCTTCTTTCCTGTGAGGGAGCACTGGACAGCCTGTGCCCAGAGAGGCTGTGAAGTCTCCTTCTCTGGAGACTTTCAAAACTCACCTCAACGCATCCCTGTGCCACCTGCTCTGGGTGAATCTGCTGTACTGGGAGGGGTTGGACTGGATGATCCCCAGAGGTCCCTTCCCACCCCTACCATTCTGTAATTCTGTGACAGTAAGTATACTAGGAAAATAAAATTAATATTTCCTTTTTTTAAAGATTATATTAATACTATTACTACTATTAATAATAGTATTATTATTGCAAACAGCAGAAGCCATCTTCTAGCAACTTAGCTCTTTACTTTAAGGAAGTCCCAAATACCTATCTTCCCACATTACACAAACTACTCTTGGGGGCACGCTGGCAAGAATCGTGACTACTTTACACGCACAGCTCCCCCTCCTCAGTTTTTGGTTCCAAAGAATGATTTACAAAAGCCTTAAATGACTAACTACAATTTTCAAATTATCATTAATTTGTCATCAGCCTGAAGTGGCTTTACATGCTGGCCCTCAGCCAGATACAAACCCCAAATTTCCATGTGACAAGTTGTCACAGAAGATGTCTACATGGCAATACATCACAGTTACTGCAAATACACTCCTGTCCAACAGCACCTAATGTTCTACGCTTCAAACAGCTTTTACCAATCATTTCTTGCTGCTGACAGCTTGTTTCTGCTACATTTAAAATAACCTGTATGCTGTCCAAGCAAAGATAATAGGACTCTAGAAATATCTAATATTAAAATCTCAGTGAATTAGTTGGCAAAATTGGTATTTCCTAATCTGAGGGCAAGCAAAGTTACTTTATTCTTGCAACCACTTTTAGATGAACAGAAAAAAAAAAAAAAATGGGAGGAGGGAAAGGAGAATTTGGCTCTGTACTCTCCTCTCTTCCTCTAGAAAATTAATGAATGCAAAACTCTGGGAATATGTAATAAATTGCGAGTTGTCCTCCAACTGAACATCCCCAGCATGACAACTGCCACATTAGCAAAAATTTATCTTTAGCCTTCAGATAGCAATCACAACAGAGAACACTGCACCCATACAAGGCCAGAAAACAATGTTTTATTCATACTCTTGCAGAAAGCTCAACACACAGCTTCGTACGTAAGCAGAAAGACCTGTCTCCATTGTCATCCCTTCTAAGGAAAAAACATCTTCTGTACTAATTCAATAAACATAAACGTTCTGTGGGCCTGCGTGCAGACGTGTGCTCACCTATCCATGTATAGATGCCTACTGTACACATGCACAAACACGTCTATAACACAAAGACTAATTTCATACAGTTTTCTGTCTCCCAGTGAAGTCCTACAGGAATTCTTATGTCTGACAAGCCCGAGTTCAAATTGCAGGCTATGGACATTAGCAGGATGTCCTTCTGTCCTCTCAAACATTTTCACAAAATTTGAAGAAATTTAGTGTCATTTCAGACCACTGCCAAATTTGAGATTTGCCAAAGGAATTAAACATTACAGGGTTGGCAAACCAGTGACAAGCAAAGAGCCAATGCTGCTGTTACCCACGGAATTTTTCATTAGGGAAACACACAAAAATTACTTGATGAATAATTTTTATTTCCTGTGCAGGTCTTATTGGAGGTTTAGCCACTCCCTCACACCTGGAGCATGACACAGCTACAGTAACAGACACAGTTTGGTGCACACTTCAACTTCCGTTAAGACAATGTGCTAAGTACAGCTAGGGCTTCTTTGCTAAACTCCATCTTCCAGGTTTGTCAAGTCTTCTAACTCTAACAGAGTTGAAACCTGCTGCTGTAGCTGTCCTAGAAGACAGCTGTAAGGGAATAAATGGCATTCAAACTTGTCAGCAAAATAGAATGAAAGCTGTGCTATTTTTTTTTTGGTTACTAGTACAGTAGCTAATAATTCATATTAGCATTCAATTTTCATATGGCAAAATCCTCCCAAAACCTTGAAGTAAGCTTGAAAACATGGGAAAAACAAGACTAATAAATGGGGTTATAACTGCATTATTTTATTTTAAACTTTGGCAGTGTGCCATTAATATGCACATTTTCAAGCTCAACAATCCTCAAAGCATTAACTCGTCATAAGGGGTTTCATGGGAACTGATGAAGCAAAGCATTAAGAAGAGGAAGGAGGTGGGATCCCGTCCCGTTAATCCAGGGCTAAATCCTTCACAATTAGCAAATTACCAACCCATTCATTTACAGAAAACTACATTACATTTATGTGTAAGAATGCGGTCTACTGACTACCAAATGGTGTCATACAGCAGGACTGCTGAGTATTAAATAATTCCAGAGCAGAACACAGAGCTTTCAGTTCCATGGCACAATTGGAAGGACTCATAAGTGATATTCAGACTGACTACAGAATAAGAATGATGGAAGAGGACAGAACTATTAAAGCCATAAAGGCAGTAGTCTGCATGCTTAAGAGAAGGAAGATGAAAGCTCAAAAACTAAAACTAGAATTTAAAATTTCTCTTCTTCAAAAGTCTTCAGAACAGCAATTTCTATCTCAAAAGGCAACCACTGAATTGTAAACAGTTCCAATTTCTCAAGTTGGCACAGAAAGTATTATCAAAGATCTGCCAACTAACATCATTTGCCCTAAGAAAGCAATGAATACTTTTAAATCCTTGCCTCCCCCTCTTTTAAGACACAGCAATCAGAGCTAGAAGCCTATGAGCTTTCAGCATGCAAGAAAAGAGACCAGAAGTGCTGGTTTCGAACTATTTTTGCATTAAGAGAGCACAAAAGGAACAAAATGTGAATATATCCCCGCATGCAAGCTGTTGCTGACCTTTTCCAGTTCACACTGTTATTACATTACAACTGTCCAGGTTACCTGCAGAGATATCACAGATCTCAAGCTACCGAATCGCATACTACCAAGACAAGCAGGCTGTTTTTGCAAAACAGTTGAAATAAAAGTGTGTGGCTTATTAAGCAAGTCTCACTTGAAACTTTTCTCATATTGCAAGTGATGTAATATACTCATTTTTCATGGCAGAACTTACCACGGAGTAGAACTTAATACAGACATCTTCCTTCAAAAGACACTAACAGCATGCAAATATTTAAACAGTTCATTTTGTAAACCACCAGGGCACAGTCAAAAGGGAAGATAATAGGTGGGTTTGTTTTTTTCAAAAAAGCAGAACTGTTTCAGTTAGCAAAATGAGTATAACCTGTAAAATGTAGACATTTCAGAAGACAAGAAGTTCTGATGATTTCAGAAGCTGCAATGAAGCATTAATTAGCAAATAAAATACTGAAATGACCCGACAATACTGAAAGTAGTACACACAGTGGCACATAATCTGAACAAGTGAATACACAGGCATGCATACAAACAACATTGACACTGGGTTGCAAATTTTCACTTGAAGATCTACACATGGTAGTATTCAGGAAACCTTCAAGAATTTTTCTCTCCACAACATACATATCTTTATCAACCCCCAAATACCAGGTTCTCCTTATTTAAAGCCAGATTTCTAGTCTTTGCTTAGCAACTCCTTTTAAAAATACTTCTCTTGACAACTCTACAGCTACATCTACCACAGCTACTTACCAAGGTAAGGTTTTGGGTTGGATCATAATTCATACATCATACTCAGTACTTCAGATCATGGCGTGCAATTCTACATATTTAAAACCATCCATAGATTCTCCTATATTACTACATATAGTAAATACACGAGTGAACATACACACACCCATACCTTCTGTAGTTGGAAGTAGGTCTTTCCCTTCACTCTTTGTTTCTGCCAGTTTCTCTGTTCTCAGCAATACTTCTGCAAAGCTTTCCAAAGAATTGTTCTGGTATGTGCCATAGCTGATTTCAGACTAGAAGTAAAATAAAGTAAATCACACATGGCCACTGCACTCTGCAGGTATTTTTAGCTCACTTGCATCAGATGTAATTACCCACCTTGGTTCCTGCATTTGCTTTCCTGTTTAATTCTGGATTTTTTCCTACTATCACACAAAATTTCAAGTCATGCATAGAATCCCAAATCCATACATTTGCTTAATTACAAGATCTCAATAAAAAAAACTAGCACTTCAGAATTCTGTAACTTAAACTTACTTCACCAACATAAGGATCAGCAATTAGAGACTCATAAAAAGGATGACAGCCTTGTTTTTCCACAGCAGCATTTTCTCCCGGCCTGCTTTTTAATATATCTCCAAATTCTTGGCCCTAGGAAAAATAAGTATAGTTGAACCTAGTTGCAAAGAAGCTCATTAAAAAGTCTGTAACTGCTGTTCAGATGGGAAACAACTGCAAATGAAAATATCATTGAATTCAGTGGGGAGCAAGATAGGCAACATCTTACATAAACCAATGCTGAATGAGGTCCAGTATTCTTAGAAAAGGAAAGAGAATCATGCTCAAAAGCAGAACCAGAAATACTGGTAAGATAAACACAGAAAATCCACTGAAACAGAGAGGGTAGAAAAGAGAAACTGAAAAGGAACAGCTTTGAATATAAAATGAGAGTATTTAAAGAGTGGGCTTCACTGTGCTTTCTTCCTCAAAGTTCTGAAGTTCTGCGAAATTTAATCTAAATTTTACCTTCTCACACTATGCTAAGAAAGCAGAAGAAAACAGATTTGAAAACAAGAAAAGGAAACAGCTTTTGAACTCTTCTTTCATTGGAATTGTCATTGGAACAATCCTGTGATGTCACTAGTTCATAATATATCAGTGAATGTGTAAACATCTGGAGACACATCATGAGTTCCTTACATGCAACGGTCGAAGATACGTTAATGACCTCTTCCACCACTGTCCATCACTGACAGCATGCAGCATGGCTTTTGTAGTCATAGTTGTGTTAGACAACACCTTCATGGTTTTTGATGTCGTCCAGTACAACAAATCTGCAGACTGGCTAGAGGAGGTGTTGGTTTCATCCTGTGAGCACATCCAACACACAATGGCAAGTGTTAGACTCATGCTTTAATTAAGCTAATGACCAGAAGCCAAATGCGTTAGAGTTCAGGCACACCGTGTTAATAATGCATTTTAATCATCATTAATTTATGCAGCAGCTGTCATAAAACCAAACAAAAGACAAAGTTAAAAGCGACTTAGTTTCCATCTGAAGTGAGTAGTGTGATCAGGAGAACATTTTGCCCCTTCTTCAGCTAAAATTTCCGCTTGCCACTGATACTAGCTGTTTCTAATTACAAAGTTTATAATGATAATGTTTTGTATAATTGTTGAATGCTTCTGATAATCATTTCTCTACAAATGAGATAGAGCATGCTAAAATTAATCTTCAATAATTCAAGAAAGCTGATAGGAGACACAATCTGATATTTGTACAGAGGTAATATTAATTAAGTTGGATTCTCAGTAGGAGAAATGGTGAAGAGATGTAAACATTCATCTCTAGACCAAGCAAAAAGGTATCAAAGATTTGAAATTCTTCAGTCAGCACTTACAAGGTACCGAATATAGCAAACCTAAAAGTCTGCAAAAAGAATCAAGGCCCCAGCTTATTCTCCAGCTAGTTCTGCAATACATGCACAAATACATCTACACGTTATCCTGCAGAACATCTTTGCTCAGTCTCAGCGAACTCACAGGTATGCCAGTTCTTAAAAGCAGAAGACATGTTCCACAAATGGAACTTTCTGCATCAGCTCTCCTTCATGTAATGCATTTAAATAATACCCAGGGCACATTGGCTGGTGTGTGATATTCCAGTCCTGAAAGGTCTGTTAACCATATCCTTTACAAAGCTTACACAGACAAAAATATAGTATCAGCATGCTAATGTAAACACACTCTTCAGCAACAGAAAATATAAATATTTTCCTCCATATAGAAAACTTCAGTTTTATACCCAATGTTTTTCCCTAGCAACTCATTCATCTCCCCGCACACTGAAGTGTATCGAAATAGAAAAATTCTACCTGTATAACTGAATGTGAGGTATTACTTTACAGCTTACTGACTCATGACAAAATTTCAGATATCAAGAGCAAAAAGAAGGCCAAGTTGTGCTCAGGTGAATTACATCGCACCATGACCTCAGTGACAAACCATGTTAGCTTCAGCAAGGTAGAATTTCACTGCAGACAAACTTTTTTTAATAATTTTTACTGTAGTACACAGTAAATCACTGCCTCAAGCTGGCCACTAGTAGCTGGTCCATCTTAAGTCCTTCTTTCTTAAGGCTTCAGCATTACTTTTTTCTCCTCCCCCCCAATCTTTTCTGAAATTTTAATCTACATTTTACAGATGAACCACTCACAAGCTGATTGGCTAAACTTGAAATTTCAGCTCTTCCATCACCAAATGGAAAAAGAGCACACACCAAGTACAACATGCCAGAATTTGTACTTCTCTGAAAAGTAAAAAGCAACAGAAAATCCTAGATTTGGTGGCTTGAGAGGTGAGAGAGAATTTCTTGCATGTTTTTTAAAGAAACCACTCTTGGTAATTAGCATGAAAGCTTTTTGTAATTTATTTAAAATGCTATATACAGGATACTAATTTCTCTCTCTGCCTCCTCTTTCAAGCAGATACTGAAGGACACCTAATTGAATTTTCACTGGGGAAAAAATGAAACAAAACCTAACCAAAACAGAACCAGAAAAAGCTATCTCCCCTCCCATGTTCTCAACTGCATTTGAGCAAAACACATTGTTTAAAATAAACCTTGTTCAGCTATGTGTAAGCTAATAGGCTAACTTGTATGCTAGTGTGTATGCTTCTACAGCTCTAACACTATCAGATAAACTCTATTGTTTTTTTTTTAAAAAGAATTTCAACTCTTTGGAGTAATTACAGTCTTTTCTGTACAAATAAGAACTCTGTACTCTGAAAAGCCATTCCTCTGTGTACCCAGAATAGCAACCCTTTCAGGTTATGAGTTTTTGCTATCGTAACTCAATCTCTCATAAAATAAATTATTTCTTAAGAACTTTTGGAGATCCCATCTTAAGAAGACAACTTTAATTTTATGCTTTAATTGTCTGGAGCTTTTCAGGGGTGTTTGGGGAAAACTGTTTTTTTTTTAATAGTATTTACTCCTGATATCCTTCATAAAAATAAGCACTTCTGATTAAAACAAATCAAAAAAGCAACAGTAACAACTACTTAATAATCCTAAATTAGAAGCTTAAATATATGTATGAATCCAAACTGGTGTAAAAAGTCAGCCAACAAATTCTATATTATCAAGATTCTCTAAAATAACAGCTAATATATTTATATATAGACACCCCCCCATGCTCACACATACAAATACAGAATTCCAAACAGTCTAATGCAAGGACAAATAACAAAGCCACCTATTTTCTCAGTAAGTCAAAGAAGAGAGAGTGATAAATTTGAACAGCTTTTTGAAGGCTTTAATGACAATTACTCAAAGTGCAAGGATTGAAACATGCACTGTATACACTTTATGCATTAAGATGATGAAGGAAACAAAGTCAGGTGGAACTGTTTGTAAGACAAAATACATCAAGCTTAGCTTTCTTTTTCTTCCTTTTTTTGGTACTTCCATGGGAAATCAGGAATTCAAAGTAGTCTCTTTTACATACTCTTTCTTTATTCTACAATTGTTTTGTGCCTTGGAGGGTTTTGTTTGCACTTTTTAATTATTTTTTATTTTGCTCTGTTTTCTTTTCCTTTCATAATCTATGTTACAGCTAATAACCATCCCAACTGAAAACTCCAGTCCTGCAAAGATAAATCAGATTCTAGATGAGAGACTACAGAAAAAAAAATGGTTCAAGGTGACAGCACTAGAATTCAGGTGTCACTGGATGGCTAAACTCTGATTAAGGCTCTAATGTCACTGGAACTGAAAAAGTAACCCAGCCTTAAGCACATAAAATGCACGTGACTCAGGTGCTTAAACACAGGTTTTGACAACTGCCTGAGCAATCAAGGCATCTGCTTAGCACTTGTAGATCTGACAGAGGACCTAGACTTTTTGGTCAGCAGCTAAAGGATAGAAGGATAACTTAGGGCATCTCTGATTGTTGTTATTTATGATTAAGTAACTGAATCAAGCACCTAATGGCTGATTAACTGTATTATTCTATATGCACCATTGACTCCATCTCCACTGACTACAACAGGTGTTTAAACAGTGTCCATACAGAGTTCCATATCGAGATTTTTCTCCTCCTCTCCCAGTGACATTGTCAGTGAATACAATTCAAGAATTATAGCTATCTCTTCCTATGAGAATACCACCAGTTTAGTTACTACAGATTTAAAACCAGTTTATATTTACTAAACCACAAAAATCACAGCCCCAGCTATATTTTTTTTTTTTAAATAAAGACAAAACTATTTGAAAGAGCAGCTGGAGCATTATTTTAAACCTGAGGTTTCAAAGCCTCCAGGTGGAAGAGTTCACAACGCATGCAACAAATATTACCTAATAATTAATAACCAGCAATGACAAATATACATGACACAGCAATTTAACGTACACAAACGTTTTTAAGGATCCCACCTTTTCCCAGATCTAGTGCTTGATGCAAAAGAAAGAATGTGATAATGCTCTGGTAATCAGAAATTTTCTTTTTTTAAGCAAAGTTTAAGAAAATCAAAACAGATAATTCAAAGATACTCTACTCTAGAAATTATGTACATCAAAGAGTTTGTTTTTAAGGAAACTTGAAACTGTAAATTTCTCTTATGCTGACATGCCACTTAACAGTAATTAGGTTTTCACATTCAGATATGTAAAAGATAATGATTTTATTTATAACAGACATAATCCATGTTTTAAGTATTACATAGATTTAACAAAGTTAGAGCACATTTACAAGACAATGGATGGTTATTGTTTCTACTGTTTATACACACCACAGCATCTTGCAACTCAGCATTATATTGTAATCTAATAATGGCAGCAATAATATTCTGCAAAGCTTTTCACAAAAAAAAAAAAAATTCATTTTCTCACTAAGATATTCCATTGGAGAAGCACAAGGTTAGTTTTTGAGGCATTTCCAACACACAACAAAGAGAAAAGAAAGGGTCTGGATTGGGGAAATTTAACATTTTACTTAAAAATAATCTGCAATATTTGAATCATTGTAGCTTCCAGAGGATAATTTCTCCAATGGATACCATAAGTTCAATCAACAGTGACAAGCTGGCACTAAGGTAATAAAGTACATTCTTGTGCAAATCCATTAGCTCCTACAAAATAACAGCATGCATCTTCATCATAGCAATCAGGAACTCCCTTCTGTGTAAGAATCACCAAAAACTTGGAGAAAAGTTATACTGAAGTCAGTATGACAGCAATGTTAAACGACATTTCTATGCTATCTGTTATCTGAGATACATAACAAGCTGCTATCAAGATTTCTGCAGGTTTCCAGGGGAAAAAAGTTTTAGAGGAAAAACTTCAAACAACAAAAATAATGAGTTTAAACACTTCTACATCAAGAAAAGAATGACTGACAACTATGACCAGCTAATGATGTAGGTTGGCATAATGAAAAAAAATGGTAGTGACAAGTAATGATTCAATAGTAAAGGTAAAAGAGGTAGAAAAAATCACTAAGGTTTGAAAGGGAAAACTGGTACACTCGCAGATGGGTATTTTTACAGCAACAGAGAACGGAATGCCCAAATGTGAATGCTAGAAGAAGCTTAGTCAAGTTAAGATGAAGAAAATGACATTTAGTGACAAATTTGAAAAGGTATCAGTAAGTGAGAAAGAAGAACATCTGTCAAATCCTTGATAAAATGATACTTTATCAAGACAGAAGTGAAAAAGAAAGGGGGAAAAGTTTATTTGTTATAGTTGTTTTTTTCTTGGAAGGAAGAAATTCTGTGCAAGACAGCGTAGGTGAAGCATGAGGCACTAGCTGAAGTGGAACTATAGGAATTGCAGTTATTGGATTCAGTTAAATCAGAGAAACTGAGTTACTGAATATACTGCTTTTCTAACACTTCAGATGTCTGCAACAAAGGAAGGGTTATACAGTGACTAATTCTTGGCTATGTTTCCTCCTGTGTCATTGCAAGAAATGAAAGAAGCTATAAATCTCTATTAAGTCAACTACGAGAGAACAAAGACAGAATTAGCAAATATACGGCACTCATTTATAGTGTAACAGTCTGAAATATGACATGCCAAGAAGCTGTATTAAAACAGAACAGGGAAAAAAAACTTAATGCAGCACCATACAAACTCAGCAGGTCAACTGTCTGCCTACTTTCAATTCTAAACAGACAACCAACCATAATCAAAGAGGGAAAAAAAAAAAAAAAAGAAATAAGATACTGGAGAAAATGAGTAGATTTTCTGAATGTGTATTCCTCAGCATAATAAAAACTGCCTCAGGTATCCAAACTGAATTGATAATGAACTTAATTAGTGAGTTTACTCAACTCTGATAAACCCTTGAATAAGTTCCTGCACCATTTATATGCAGGTGTAATTGTTCCATCACAAAATACAGTCAGCAGTACCAACGCGTGTGAAAGGTGACGCACAACAAGTTTATTATATATACTAAAATACTGTAACCATGCAAATCCACATCCACATCTGAAGGTTCCACAATTTTATTAGTATCATTTAGTAATCTTCCTCTCAGAGAGAATCTTTTACCAATTTTCAGAAAACACAAAGCATTCATGGCACTGAAGCAGACCTGTTCTTCATGTCAACAACTCTAGCAGACACAATGTTAAGCTCTCTTCCTCAGAATACTGTTTTCAGTGCCGTTTTATTTTCCTGTCCATTTATTTTATAGATATGCAAACACATGTATGCATGTTTACCTATGCATATCTGTGTACAATGTATGCCTACATAGATACGAAAAACATACACTAAATCTAGACATATACACAGAAGTTATTTGTCCCATTCCAGTAGGGGGAGGTGTGGCTTTTTAAGCAACGTGGTTTTAAATATACCAAAGGCAAAGACTGGCATGTTCCACCTACAGCTGTCACCGGTACAACTTCCCCAAGGATATAACAACGTTAAGGAGGTTGCAACTCCAATACCCCTCTGAAAAAGCCAGACTATGCAACACAAACCACCTTTTTACTTTCCTTCTCTATTCTTTCCTGTATTTCTTTAAAGATTTTGTCCCACATCCAAGGCACATAGATCTGTTGAAACAAGTCCAGAGGAGGGCCACAAAGTTGTTCCAGAGGCTGGAGCAACTCTGCTATGAGTACAGGCTGAGGGCACTAGGATTGTTCAGTCTGGACAAGAGAAGACTCTGGGGGGACATTATAATTATATGGGACCTTCCAATACCTGAAGGGAACCTACAGGAAGGCTGGAGAGAGACTTCTTATAATAGGGTCCAGCAACAGGACAAGGGGAAATGGTTTTAAACTGAAGGAGAGAAGGTTTAGACTAGACTTCACAAAGTAGTTCTGCAGGACAAGGGTGGAGAGACTCCAGAATAGGTTGCCCAAAGAGGTTGTGGATTCCCCCTCCCTGGAGATGTTCAAGGCCAGGTTGGCTGAGGCCTTGAGCAACTTCATCTAGTTGAGAAGCACCCCTGCCCTTGGCAAGGAGGTTGGATTAGATGATCTCTAGGGTCCCTTTCAACCTAAGTCATTCTATGAAATTTGTTGAAATAATTAACAGGTCAGTAGAAAGAACAACAACAGACTTTCTTCCTACTGCCCTGTCTCTATTTCCCACAAATCATTCAATGTTACTCCTGATCTTATACATAAATATAATTTCACATGTAATATATGAAAGTTATAAAACTTCAAGGAAGCTATAAACTTCATGATGCATAGAATAAGTGGGAAAAATAAAAGTTTAACTCAAGACATTTTTAAATGTTTTGCTTTGATTTTTTTTCTGTCCCAATTGCAATCAAACCAACATTAATGTATGTTATCATGTTAAGTTTTGTTGCACTTTCCTCTTCTCCTGCCTATGGGTTTGTATTTTTTTTTTTTTTTTTTAAATGGTACTAAGACTGTGTAAGAACTGCAACAAAAATTCATCTTAAAGGTCTCTTCCAACCTAAAGGATTCTATGATTCTATAATCACAACGAAGTATAAATACATAAGCAATACCTTGAACTTAACACAATCTAAGAACATGTATTAGTACATGTCTTCAATATTGTGCATTTTATCTAGTAAACAGGTAGATGTTGCTAAAAACTCAAATTCAACTCTTCAGAAAATTTATTTTTTCTTTAAAAACTCCTTAAAACTTACCTCAGTATCCTTACTGACCAATGAAGAAGGTCCTGAGATGTTTACACTCTCACCTCCTTCTGAAGGAAGAAATTGGTAATTTACAGCCTGATAAAGAACCTATAAACACAAAATGAATATAATATAATACCAGTCAAATAATTAAATATGGCAACTACGATTGATAACATAGAAAATACAAGAAATTCTGATGTAAAAGCTTCCATGATAGAAAAACAAGGGTGCAGGGGAAGACAGGGAGAATACAGAGGTATTTTTGACATCCTCTTACTGTGTTAAGTCCCCAAACAAAATGACCTTGCCTTCTCAGTGATGGACTAGATGACCTTTGGAGGTCCCTTCCAGCCCAGACATTCTATGATGATTCAACAATTTTTGCGCAGTATTTTTCATATAATGTAAAATTTTTGATTTTTTTTTTTTTAATTATATTCATCCTGCTGTGCTCTGTAGGCTAAAGAACTTCCACAAAACCCACCCTTTATCTGAGCTACGCCTCTGAGATGCTGGGCAACTCCACTGAGGGAAGCGTTACACAAGATAGTAGTTTTGTGAGTACAATTTCCACAGGCCATGGAACTGATGAAGGTCAAAAGGCACTTTTAACCTTTTAATATCATCTGGTCAGTGTGACCTTCTGATGAAGATTTTTTATATCTATCTCCAGACAAAGACAGAGCGCTTGGACAGAACATGCAAGAACATTAATCAACAAAGCTGAAAAGTTTATGTTTAGTTTATGGAGAACTTAATTGCAGAAGAAATTGCTTTATAGAAATCATCACTTGGGTTTGACTTCCTGGGGAAAATACCAAATTAATCATCACTGCCATTTTGCTACAAATAACAGATTTCACTAACAAACAAATTTGAGCAACAAATTCAGTCTCCAGTTTTGTGAATGGCGAAGACAATCTCCTCCCCTGGAGAAGTGGGATGCAAGATGGTAACAACCAGTGGCTAAGGAGCCTCACTACAACTAAGAGGAACTGAAGCCTTTAGAAGGAAAGAAACAGCAGCATAGAAGCAGTGAATTGACACAAAGTCCAACAAATTTTGGTTTATACAGTGCAAAAAGTTTGTCAGAATTCTAATTCTAGGTATAGGTACATAAGGGAGGGAAACAAGCTTTTATATATATATATTAATATGCTTGTATAGATATATAGTACAATATTTAGGATAACCTAAATTACTGCACTGCAGTTTCAAATAAAACTTTTCAAAAGGTCTGCTATGTCGTTTTGCCATAGCTTGTATTTAAATGCCACAATGATGTGTTCTCACACATACACTACCATCAGCTGAACACCTAAGATTGTCATTCTGTTAAGAAGTCAGTCATTGCAAAGTCAAAGACAGCTCAGACAAAGCCTGTTGTAGCTGTTAAATCATTACATGGGTGAAATAAGTGAGAGAAGAGTTCTATTATAGATTGGGTAAAGATCATAAAAATGTAAGAATAAACATTTAGTAGACATTTATGTAGTCATTTATTGAAGTTGCATTAGAAGGTGTAAGCAGCTGGAAAACATCAAAAAAAATTAACTGTATTTACAAATAAAATGCTTAGATTAGGCAATAAATGAAGAAATTAAAAGTACTAAACAAAGAATACAATTGCATTTCTACTTGAGAAGCCAACTCACCATTTAAGAAAGCTTATAAAGACACTTCATTTGTTGAAAAACAACAGTGAAAGTAGAAAAACAGAGGAGAAAAAATATAAGCTTGTTGGCGGATGGAACTTAAGGGAACAAACTTAAAAACGAGCACAAGTCTCCTTTGCTTTGATAAGCACTGAACTTGCATTAAAAGTTTCAGAAACACCTACCTGGGTTTGCAGTGAACTGCTCACTCCCAGCAATGGCTCTATGGCACTCGGGGGACAGTGTGTCAGAGCAAAAGCCATGAGTTCCTGGCGCACACCCAAGTCCTGGTAGCCTTCTGATTGCCCAAGCTGACTGCAAACTTCCCAGCTTTTAGAATAACCTACAAGGGAACAAAATGTTCCTCTGAAGTTAGTAAACCTCACAAGAGACAGGAGAATGCTGCATTGTCACTAGGTGAGATCAAGGAGGGCATGTGGCATTCTTGCCAACACATCCCCTAAGAAAGGAACCATAAAAGCTTCACAAAAGAGAGATGCAGCTCGACTTTAGACAGACCAAACACCAATAACAAGAGACTCGTTATTATCATATTGTATCAGTAGGCATCTGTAAGCCTACACACTGTATTTTTGCATATTGAAATGAGAAAAATAATAGTGTACTTCAGAGAATGATATTGAACACCTTACTGGAGTGGCTGTAAAAGAGAAGTAAAATATATCTCTTGTCATATTAAAAGAACCTCAGTTCATCCCATATCTTTATTCCTTCAATCTTAAGTCAGAAAAAAAGCCAAAAGAAACAAATCCCATCTTCCTCAGTGTCTTGATACTTCAATTACTTCCACTCATACCCTCACATATACAAAATATTTTTCCTATTTATGTAATTTAAGAATTTTGATAGAAAGGCAGACATCTAAAAGACCTTCTGCTGGCTGTATATTTTTAACTGTTTGAGAAGCATCCAGCATAGGAAGAATGAGAAATCCTGGTTCCCTGAGGCATACAGAAAAGCTCCCTAGGGTTACACATCTAATAGTTCATCCACTATTTTATTACATACCTATTTGCTGTATACATCTCCATTCCACAGGTTGACTTTCACAAACAAAATGTAACTGACTTTTGAATGGAATTGACCATTCTGAAGTACCATCCTTAAGAGTAACCCAAGAGTCAGAGCTCTGATTTCCACCACCATCACCCCACACAACTCCCATTTATTCACTTCACCTGCAGCCATGAGCTCCTGGCAATGCATACTAGCTGCTTTGTAGTCCTGGAAATTGAGAGCTTGCTCCACTAAAAGGATTAAAACTTGACCTTTTCTTTCCATCTGATCATCTCCTGTAAAAAAAAAAAAAAAAAAAAAAAAAAACAACATTTTTACTCATTAATGGAATTAACAATTGACTTAAGCTTGCTACTTTATTTCTTAAGAAAACTATATGCCACAACACAAAAAGTACATCTTGAAACTGAAGCAGAAATAAAACCACCTGCTTTTTCCTGAAGGGAAAAAAAAAAAAAAAAAAAAAAAAAAAGAGTTGTGTGTTTTAAGGAACATTTGCATCATAGCTAGCTAACTGTATTTACTTGATGGCCAAAACATAAGCCAAAACTGGTATTTAAGGTAAGTGACCTATAAACCAAAATCCTGACATAGAAACTTCTGTGAACTGTAAAACAAGAAGAATTTTGAAATTTTTGTTTTCTTACAGTATACAAAGCCTCAGTTTAAACTCCCACTTCACAGTCAAGTAATTAATGAGATATGGCTGATAGAAGTATTTAAAAATCCATACCCTCATAATTGAGAAAGTAGAACTGAAACTGTTTTTTCATATCATACACCCATCTTGGTCACCAGACCTTCTGGACAATGCCCCTTCTCCCAGTTATGGTTCAGAAGTAGTATTTCAGATACTATTGATCTCTTCTGATTAAAGTTTCATCAAGAATTTTCATAGAAAAATGTCCCAACTTTCATTTTAATACATCAGCATTTAAAGATGAAAATCTAATCCGACAACTTAGCTCCTTTCAAAAGCCAGCTACAGTCAATACAAATACCATTTACACCTGTCATCCTTTACCAGTCAGCTATTTTTATTAAGCTTCTTCCGATTTAGAGGGAACACAAGAGAATGAAAGTTATTTACTTTACTGACACCAGCTGGTCCAGTCTTCTGCTCTAAATACTGTGTACGACCGTGTGCTGCATGAGGTGGTGACGGAACGCACACAGGAAAAATAATCTCATGCTATTCATTTTAATTAAGGAAAAAAGAATGGCAAGAAGCTAATAAAAATGAATGGATTTTTTCAGTGCAAGCTTCCTGCTCATGTTTCTCCCCTATTATTAGAAGTGATTTTATGCAGTCACCGCTGTTACAGTCATTTGAAAAGGGCACTGGTTTATGAAACTGTATTACTACAACTTGTGAAATGCAAATATTTCAGAAGGTTAAACAGATCCGGTTCCAAAAACCTTTTAAAAGAGTACATGTTCTTAAATTGCATAGCTGTTATTTTTAACTCTACTTTACAGATCCATCACCACAGGCAAAGCAAATTTCTTTTTAAAGCTTTCTCAAAAGAAAAGACGTAGCGGTTGCGCTCGAACGACATTCATGGAAGTGAAGTTACCCTAATTAGTGAACTCAATCAAGATTCCCCTATTCCCAGCATGTCATGACTAACCCAGGTGGGAGAACAGGTTAGCTTCCCATCATTTTATCTCTAGCCTCTTGCTCTGTATACTGCCAACACACAATGTTGCATACTAATGACATTCAAGGCTCTTCTCTTGCAAAATGTTGCCCTCTGGAACCCAGGAACTTCTCATCCAGGCAAAAGCAATTACAGATGACAAAGAGGTGCTTCTAAATACACAGGCTAAGTGTGAACTGTCAGTTCTGAAAGCAAGAGATCTGTACTGCCACTCACCTTCTGATGCCCACTTCACTTTGACAGCTTTACTACTCACAGAGACCTGACTAAGTGACAAACACAAATAAAAGACAAGAGAAATAATGCAACTATTGTCCCCCAGATTTCAGCTAGACAAAATAACGATTCCTTATTACTACTTAAAAATCAATCAGATTGAAGACAGGAGGAAGACTTGGTGCAAGGAACAGTCTTCCTCTTGACTGTGCTTGAGCAGTTGCATGGTGCCAAGTGCCACATCCCCAACATATTAGCTAATGAGTTTTGATGCAGGAGGATAAATCTCTGCATGTCTTACAAAAGCTCAAACATAAAATATAAGGATCGTTTCCCTTCCAGTCCATGGCTCTGCTTGCTCACCTTATCTCCATTGTTCACTCATTTAAACTTCCATTATTTTGACACATACTGTTATGTCACAGAGCAACCATCAGCTCAAATGTTGCTAGAGACTCCCCTGCCATGCACAGCCCAAGCCCTTTTTCATGCAGCTTTCATTGCCTCAACAGTGCAAACACTTGTAATACTTCAGTTAGAGCCATGGTCCTGTTCTAGTCAAACATGAATAAACTCATTGCTTCAGTTTTGTGACACCTCATTTGAAGGTATTTTTAATAATAAAGTCTAATCAAAGTGAAAATTTTGAATTCTAAATTGTTCCCCTTGCCATTTTGACAGGCATCCAAGATTTAAAACCAAGAAAGGTTCAATGAGAAAAACTATTTAAAAACTATTAAAATAGTGACATAATATTACACAGTAATTCTGCATTAAGCCTTCACGTTAATGTCTGACATGCAGACTCACACAAATCAAGTTCAGAAACTGGAAAGGATACCTTAGTTTTCATTTCTTTTTTATTATCTGTGAAAGCTTATGTGTGTTGAGCTCCTTCATACTATTGCCTTTTTATATCATAAGGAAAATGCATTTATACTGTAAGCATTATTCCACCCAGTAACATTTAAGTCTCCAAAGTTATTTTTATCTCTTCTCTTACGATGTTCAGCATTCAGAAAGAAGTTGATACAAGCAGATGTGGCATCACACCTGAAAGCAGGCTATAGCAGTGTGGGGGGATCGGTCTCTTTCCCCTAGAAACAAGGGACAGAATAAGAGGAAATGGCCTCAAGTTGTGCCAGGTGAAGCTTGGTTTGGATATGAGGAAAAATTTCTGCATCAGAAGGGTTGTCAAGTATTGGAACATGCTGCCCAGGATGGAGTCACCGTCCCCGGAATATTTAAAAAACATGTAAATGTGGTGCTTAGGGACATGGTTTAGTGGTGGATTTGGCAGTGCTGTGTTAAGAGCTGGATTCAAAAGAGAAAATAACTTTTTTCTTGAGAAATAAAGGATGTTCAAATACTTTTAAAAGTTTGGATTCTATTTGGGTCATCTAGAGGAAAAAAAGCTTATGGAAACACTTCGGGTAGGATGTATGCTATTTGTGAGTGGATGAAACAACATTACCTTGAATAAAACCATGTCATAAAAACTTAAATGGTATCAAAATTGTATGTAAGCTCCAGAAAATCCATGTCATCTACATTTAGGAGATCAGAAACCATCTGTAAGGTTACTTCTACATATATTAAGCAAGGAAGGCAGTGTTGAGGAAGTTGGATTTAAAAAATAAGCTTTGACTCAGCAATGTTAACAAAGGTTGAAGTTGCTAGAATTAGCTTATGGATATTAAAAGTAACTAAACTGCCACAGAAAGTTGTGAGAAAATAAATTAAAAGAAAACCAAGAAAGAAGCAATGTTTGTTAGATCTTTTTTATATATTGTAATAGTAGGGAAGATGCTTTTAATGGAATCGATACTCTTAAAGGTCATTTCCAACCTATTCTATGAGTCTATGAATTTCTGACGCATAAGCTGCTTTTTTTTTTTTCCTCTCCATTGTTTTGTAAGCAAGTGTAGGGGCCAGATTCCTCAGGGGTTGCCTCAAACCTTGCATGGTGAAAGCAGCACTCTAACACCTGCCTGCCTGAGGAGGCATGGAATGTGTTGGAGGATGTTTAGCCTTGTCTCCCTGCGTAGGTCCACGCCCACCCTTCAGAGATATGGAGGTCAGCGACGCCCCTCCCTGTCCCCTTACACAAGCCAGGACCTAATCCTTGGACATGAGGAGGCTGGCCTGCACCAGAAAAGAAAAGGAATTCCATACAGGGTCTCTGCAACCACCAACTCAACTGGAGGAAAGGGTTAGTGCCACCCTTCCCCCTTTCAGGAAGGTGGGAAAGGTGTCACCACCCTCTTGTGCCTTTCCTGGAAATTGGTTACCACCCTCTAGACTCCCCACGTACATTAGGGAACACCCCACACCACAGGGGGATAGAAGGACAGTAATACACTCATTTTTTGGTGTGTTCACCACCATTAAAGAAATGGACCTGCAAGATGTCGCTGGAGCCAGAAAGCAGCATCTGAGGGCAGAGGGGTTGGAACTGGGTGATCCTTGTGGTCCCTTCCAACCCTGACAGATTCTGATCTGTTTTAGCAGAGGACTTCAGAGCCTTAATGGCTCAATGGTTGGACTCAATGATCTTAAAGGTCTCTTCCAACCTAAAGGATTCTATGAAGCTTTCTCCTTTCTCTCTCTCTTCTTAGAGTTCCTATGCCCTCATTGGCTGGATTAATGCTGGAACCTCCCTCTCTTCCCCCTCTCTACCCCTCCTCCCCCCCCCCCCCCCCCCGACCTCTTTTTCCCCCGGTATCCTCACCACCTTTTTATCTTTTCCTAGTAAGCAATGGGAGGCACGTACCTCGCACGTGTCGCAAGTAAGAGACACTTTTGTTAGCCACTGAGCCTAGTTATAGGATAGAAATTTCATTTACCACATTGAAAGTTGTTAAGCTCGATGCCAGTTACACTAATTGGTTATCATATTGATTTGAATTCATGTTAGTAGTCATTATCATATTGTCAGTTGTTTAGCCCAGTTACCCAATAAATTACTTTTTGTTTACCCACAGATGGGTGCTGTGTACACCTGATTCCAACTGAGGGAATTGGAAAACCTGAAGCACCTCGTCCCCTCCTATTTGGCTGGGATGTGACAGCAAGTAATTGCATAAAGTAAATTCTTTCACACCTTTTCTTAACAGAGAGTGTGGATTAAGTAAAGATTGCAAGACATAAAACAGCTCCAGCTCCCTGAACAGGTGCAGATTTTCTGGCTGTCATGCTAAGCACATTATCCCTCACCCACTTTGCCCATCTGTGAAATTAAGATAACACTTGTGTGCTTAGTTTACAGAGGTAGTGACATGAGGCTTAAGTAGAATTTACTGTCATTAATCAAATACTTTAAAGCAATTAAGAAACTAGCTGATATATCATTACGTAGGCAATATTTTAGCTTTGCTAAGTATGAATATAAATTCTATTACCTACTTTCAGTGCTGCTCTGTAAACAAACTGTATTCAGAGAACACAGCTCCCGAAGCATCTTGAGGATGACCGTGTGCACTCTACCCTTGTATGCACAGCAAAGGCATTGTTAGAACTGAAATTAAAATATATATGCTCCCAGTATTTTAAAAGCTCTAGAGTATATAGAGTATGTAGTATATGCTCTGTTATATGCAGACATACATATAAAATTTATATATAGGTATGGGTTGATGTAACAAGCAGGACTTTCACAACATGTAATCATTTGGGTGGTGTGGCAGGGGGAGCAAAGAGAGGGAAATGGTGAAACAGATTCCTCCAGTGAGCAGACAAGGCACAAGAAGGCACTCTACTGGTAAACACACATAGTGGGCAGAGACCAAAAGGACTGCAAATTTGAGCATGCATGAACACTACTGGCAAGCATTTGTTCCACAAGACAAAAATCAGAACTTCTTTCACAGCAAAGGTGGTTCATAAATCAGGACAATTGTGTAAGTAGTGAAAACCAATTAGGGACAAGAAACAATTCTTTCTTCCAGCAGTGCTTTATCTAATTCTTCATTAAGCAAGTCCAAAAAGTTCAATCCCTAGATTTTTTTTTTTTCCAATATCCAGACTCATCCCAATATATCTCCTTAAAACCAGTCCCTTTCATCATAAGCTGTTAGAAATCAAGTTACCTTTTCCCAGTAGTTTTAAATCTGCTTAATAAAGACTATCTTAACTAACACTGCAAGAAAGGTTTTCTCTAGCATTCAGTTTAAAATAAAATATACTCCTTCACAAATCTTAAAGTCTGTATGTGTGAGCTGCAAAGCAATTTGTGGTATAATATTAGCGTTTGTCATCATTCTCCTGCCTACCAAGTGCTAAAATAATTCTGCATCATACTAATAATTAATTGTAACTCAGGAACTTAAATTACAAGTTGACAGATAGAGAAATACAATTTCTACTTGTCTTGCTTTAACTTTTCCTTCTTTTTTACTACTTACTATTAAGTTTTACAAAACTCTTCATTTACAGACTGTGATTAAGGTTATGCTGGCATTCCACTTAAAATCTGTTTTTAAAGGCAATATTAACCCAGCTATTAAAATCACACACAACTTTCAATTCAGTATAAGGTTACCAATTCCACCACTCAATTGGAGTACCTACAGCAGTAACTGAGGACTAAAGAATAAAGCTCTACAGAATTTCTTTGATCTATAGGAAAATTTTTGCATTTGTATATATGAATTAAAATAGAGATGACCATCATGTTTCCTTTGTATGCTTTTGGATACTCTCTTGCCTACTCATCAATGGGATGGAAAGTTAGGCAAAGGAAAAAAAAAACGTATCTAATAATAGTGGTGTGCTGTTTCTAGCTTTCAATTCCAGAAATACTGAAAAAGACTAAAGAAATACTGAGTTTCTTTAAAATGAAAGCAACTTGCTTTCCACAGCCCATTTCCTGCAGTAAATAAGTTTAGATAAAATTCACAACATACTGAATCCATATCTTGCTTATAAATTAATATCCTGTACAGAAAGTACTATTTCTATAGAAGTAATATGACTAGTCATCCCTCAGTGACAGTGAAGTGGCTTTTAATCACAAAAGCATAAAACTGTATTTAAACAAACAAACAAACCCACCCCAGAACGCCCCCCCCAAAAAAAAAAAAACACTCCACTACATCCTCCACTGCAGAAAGTCACTACAGGAAATCTTTTCTTGCTGTTTCCTCCTTTCAAATAAATGTTATTTGAAAAAGTAACTTTGACAGTGACCAAGTTACTTGGTTTTTTAGCCTAAGAAGCAAGAAAAGCAAGTGCCCAAGTACTGTATACCTCACCAAGATTCACTCTTGAAATATACTTTTACTATTATAATTCCAAACTACCACAGGAACACTCATCAGCCTTATTCGCAAGGTTAACCATGAAAGTCAGAGGGCCCAACATGTATAGAAATAAATATGACATTTGTAGTGTAAGTAATACCTTTTAAATCATTCACCTGCTTAAAAATTAACCATCTCACACATCCATCTTCCAATTTTCTCCAGCATAGTAACCACATGGAAAAGAAAATCAGGAGGCCACTTCATCAGCTGGCTTTAAACATCTCTTTTAAAGCTCTTTTTGCAGCAGAGTCTCAGTAAGTACCACTGATTCAAACATTAGCACACAGACACTACTGCTTCAATGAGCTCTATATCAATTCCCTGAAGTTCTCTGCCTAATCTATATAGCTTCTCATCTTCCAGTCTTGGGAATGGGAGCCATGAGTTTGTTGCCTGGTCAAAGGTACAAAACAGAGCACTGTAGGTGCTGATCTACAACTAAGGCAGGAAGATAACACTACTGAAACAAGATTTAAGCTTCATAGAATCACTGTGGATTTTGCTTTGCCTTCTCTCATACCAAGAGAACCATTTAGATTCAAAAAGAAGGTAGAACAAAATAACAGCAGCATTAGCCTGAAGAACCCAGAACATTAAGAAGAAAAAATAACAGATTTTAACTTGATGTGGGAGGAAGCACAGAAGAGAGGGAAAGAACTGTACAGAAATCCTGTCATATGAACCAATATGGAGATATTTTTTCCAAAGCCTTACAAGTAAAGAAAAAAAGAGAAGATATGAGTGTCATTCTAGTTTTTCTTCAGAACAGATTACATATAAAATTAACAAATCCATAGATCCAGCTACCCAACATGGTGCCATCCACTTTCATCTGCCATCTTTTATGCAGCAGCACTACGTAAGAGGAGCACAGAACTTACCAGTCATGACATTTCCAGAGATTCTTCTCCTTACGACCCAGGCATCTTGGGAGGTCAACAACCTAACTTCTCTACCTCTGCTCATAACCTCACCCACCCCCTTTGAGTATCTCACTCCCTATATATAAAATATGCAAAAACTGCCAATACTAAGCTTCCTGAAAACGTAAGAAAAAAAATTCATAAATTATTTAACAAATAAAGAAATTAGCCAGGCATGCATCAGTGACAAAGCCAGAATGCACTGATTTTATATACCACACTGCATGAAATATGAATTTATATTTTATGTTTTATATTTCTGTCTACATAATAAAAGTACAGCAGTGTTGTATTTGCTGCTGTATTGCATTGTTTGGTTTTTTGGGTTTTTTAAATCAGAAGGTCTGCCAGATACTTTAGGTAGACTATCGAAAAAAAAAAAGGAAACAAAAAAACCTAGTATACTTAGGTTTCAAGCCTTGAAGATCATCTGCTCCTCAAATGAATACTCAATATTCTTTTCAGTTCACAAAGGAGTCAGCCTTTTGTCTGTGCTTCACATGACAGCTGAACAGTTGCATGGAACAGTTTATGCATTACAGATTTCTTTTCCCCCCTTCTAACTTATATGGCAAAATTACTGAATGAAATTACCTTATTTGACAGAGACAATAAGATTTACTGGAATTTTAGTACTACTGATTAACTGTAAGACGAAATATTCCCAGCCACAACTCCTCCAATGTGAAATGCATTTTTATTCAAAATCCAGATTAGACATAGCTGGGTTTATTTTAGGCATTAGTGGAATGATAGAGCAATTAACAATATCAGCTGTTCTACAAATAAAATAATTCATTCATGTAAAGTTTTATTCTTTCCCAACGCCTACTCTTCCTGACTATTTTTTAGTGATATCCTTGAATACACATTCTAATGATCAGCTCAAACATCCTAACACATAACACAAATGCATGTTGCATTGCAATTCAGCATCTTATTAACACAGCTTACCTGCAACCCTTAGCAAATTTGCAAGTCCCAGGAGCTTAGCAGACTGTTTATAGTTTGTTGACATCTGAGCAAGACAGTCCTTGATGAGACTGAGTCGATCTGAGCACAAACGCACTGTTGGGAGAAGAAGGGTTGTCAGGGACTGTTCAGATGAACCCTGCCTGCTCTGTGTCTGGTTAAACAGTGTAGCTGCAGAGAGGCTCCTAGGAAGTATAAGAATGCAAATATGACCTAAAAACCATCCCAAAGTTACTTGCATTCAGATGATCAGTTATACCCGCTAACAGAAAGTTATATCCAGCCCAAATCACTAGCAAGTCAGGCTGGGAAGGGAGAGAGGAAGAAGAGGAAGACTGACCTGAACAAAAACTTATTTTTCTTTCAGGTTTTCAGATTCAACATTTTTTAACTTATATGACTAACAATATGCCTTTATACATATTTCTTTTTAAATATCATTTTTGCAACATTCTCAGAGAGACTGCTGAAACAGACACTAACCTTCATTCAGAAGGTTGTAAATAATATTTCACACTACATTTTATTTTAGGGTGAACAGGACACATCATGGACTGAAAGAAATGTCATAGGCAAAACCTTCAGGCTGCTTTAATTTACAGAAATATCTTCTGAGCAAGTGGAGGAACAGCCTTTAAACAACCACACTGTGTCAACCACATCCTGAGAAGCTTACAATTAGTACTGTGTTTCAAAAAAGATTTTACCAAAAATTAAACAATTATCTTAATTGTATAATTTTAATACCATGAATGAATTTCAGTGTTCTTTTCAGCTGTTTTGTGGGTGGTTAGCTTCAGGCTGCTGCTTTAAAAAGGTAACATTTTCATACCATGCAAGCCCTCAGAACAGAGGAACAGCATGCAGATCTTCCACTTAACACTCAACAAGACATTAATATTGGGTTTAAAAAATAAGGTATTAGGCCTCACAAGGAAAGTGAATAAGGACTTGCATAATGAAGATTCGAGTAATATGGTCTGGAATTCAAATTGAACTTAAAACAAATTAATAATGGAAGAGCAGGAAAAGGTTACACTTTTAGCTTCCTTTTTATGCTAGTATGTAACAGTAAAATGTGCTCATTCACTGATTGTATAAACAAGATTTTTTGAAATATCCAACATAGCTGAAAGCAACCTGAAAAAATACCACGGGTCAAACATTTTCATTAAACACTTTTCTTCACCTTTTATGTTAATAGCAGTGTCCAAATCAGATTTTATTAAAATGCATTATAAAAGTAGTTCACAACCTGAACTGCCAAGTTAGCTAAAAATATGTGAGGGAGGAAACTCTACAGAAAACTGAAATAAAAGCACAAATAAAAGTCTATTATTAATTTTTACTGTGGGAATAACTGGTCTTTAATGTGCTTTTAATGACATTCTATCAAAGTAAGTGGCCATTCAAAGGCTTTCATTAAATCTTTAAAATACAATTTTAATTTTATTAGACTAATTTCATTTATTTGAGAGATACGGAAGAAAGGATGTCACAACAGTTAATGGAATTACAGGCATGGTCTTATATATTCTAATTAATCTAGATCAGTTGTATTACACATACTGTTAATGTAGTATTATGTTACCACTTTTTTTAAGTGAATCCTTCATGTCCATACCAGAAAAAGATGAAGAAAATATACATCTATTTTTCTACAGGCTGTACAAACCAACTAAAAAATAATTCTGCTCTGAAGTCAAATGTGCAACACTGCAAGATCTAGAAACCAAACTTATTCTCAGCCCAGAAATTATAACATTTCTGAAAATAACATATGGGGCATCAGCTCACTTTAAAGAAATACTTCAGGATCAACCCACCACATAAAGCAACGAACTTTGTTCATTTGGCACAATCTATAAGCAATAACATATACTGCAATATATTCAGTTTTCCCCTTTATCTCACCATCCATAATAATCCTTTTTTTTTCCCAACTTCTATCCAACAACTTTCCACACCCTTGCAGTCAGAGCTCCAAAACAGATATAAAATTTTTAAACTAAGTCACCAGAACAAATACCTTGTAGAAATTTCACTTCTGTTGTCATTGGGCTTAACATACTTCAAAATGAAATAGCTTAGGGGAGACATGAAAACCACCTATGCAAGATGTCCTGTACCTCTCTACCACCCATTATTTTAGAGCTCATCACCATATGATCAAGTGCAGATTATTTTGTAAATAAAAGTTGATCTGTAACTATTTCTGCTGAAGTCACCAGGAGCTTCAGATACTCAGATACACTAATAATGAAAAAGTCTGCTAAAAGTAAGTCACAAAACACAGATTCCATATGCAGACATCTTTCTTCTCTCAAATCGACTGAATATTTTATTTTATTTTATTTTTTTTAAAAAAAGCATTTTCTGGTATGTCTGTAAGCTTTTTGAAGGCAGAGAAGGGACCCCTCAAGTTTACTCATGCAATGCTCACACAGTGATAAACTATTTTTCATGCGTATTTATGGCTGTGATTCAAGCAACCATATGAAGAATAAAAACATGCAGTACCTTGTAGTGGTAATATTTTCACACCAAATTCTTCAAGGTAGCCAAGAGCACGAATGAGATCTAGCTCTTCCTGAATAGCACTTGGACAGTCTACAATAAGTTGTAGACAGCACCTAAAAACAGGAAGAAAACTTTTTTTCTAAAAATTATTGATAAAATTCAGTTAAATTTGTGGGAAAAAAATTCACCTGTGGTTAAAAAAAAAAATCAGTAATTTATTGTGCTTATAACATGTCAAAATACTCACTAGTCCTGTAACACATTTGAAACATTTGGCATTATACGTTTGTTATGGCTGGCTAAACATTCTAACCAACTTCTATTCTTGAACTGCCACTATCATCTTCACTTTGCTGTGATTAAGAATATTGCCTAAACCCTCTTGGATTTAAATACACCATGAGTTCAAAGAAAGACATTGAAGATATGTACTTAAACATGTAAATGAAAATGCTTCTCTTCTCACTATTGTGTTTTGGTGTTGCCATATACTAGAAGGTAAAGGCAAAATCCTGAAAAAAGTTGACTGAAGTAAAATGTTAGTCATTGTCACAAACTCAAGTTTCCTCAACTAGGTTCAGCAAATGAAAACAAAGATGATTTAAAGAATTAAGAAATATGAAATTGTTCTGAAGATAAATTAATGTATACAATTATTAATATTATTTAAAATAAACTTTTCAAGAATGCATGGTTTATGATTATTATATTAACATGATCACTTTTTAGATCGTTTTAAATTAAAAGTTGTATTAAAAGCCACACTGTACTAGAAAACATGTTTAACAAAAAATTAAAAAAAAAAACAGAAGGAAAACCAAACAAACAACAAAATAAAAAAAAAACAAATAACCCCACACAACAAAAAAAAAAAAATGACATAGAAGCCAAAAAGATGTTGTTTCCATTTACTACATAATCTACATGAAGAGAAATAAACCCACATAAAATTCACCTCCTCCTACAGGGAAACAAAATTCAAGTTTTATTTAAGAGAGTGGCATATATTTACGTGTACGATAACTGTAAATATACCTGGCTAAATCCATACAGCTATCAGTCAAACTTGTTGAAGAATTGAAATACTCTCTGCCAGCAGCCAGAACTAGTTCAATACTTCTCGCGTAGCCGACTCGGTACTGTGGCTTCCCTTTGGAAGAACTTGGCAGATCCACTGACCAAGTGCTGCAATGCATCATTTGCCCAGCCAAGTGGATATTGTCTATACTGCTCGAGCATAGAAGACTTTCTGTGAATATCTAGAAGAAAGAACAATAATTTAATAAGCTACAACAGCAGCTTCAAGCCAACTTACCTGCGTTGTATGGAACCACCCCCTCTGGTTAAAAGGGTCTCTGAAGCCAAAAAGCTTGGACATTGAGTCCAAGCAGAAAACGTAACTTCTACCAAGAAGAGCATTTCCACAATTTACTCAAGTAAAGGTAAAATTAACTAGCAGCTAGCTATTTCTGCTTCCTGCAGAAAAATAGCTTAACTGCCTTTTTACAGTATGACAGAGATCAGAATTTATTTATACTTGCATTCTAAGGTGTTAATAGGATGCAAGGATCTGAAAAGGTAGTTCAGTATTAAAACTGGCAACATATAAGAAATTTTGTATCCCTGAAGAAGCTAAAGATGTTCAGAACTGAGCATGTAAGATTTTATTAAGTTACAATCAAGACTATCTTCAGAAAATACATACTAATATAATGCTGCATTTGCCACAAAACACTTACCTGCTATTTTCAGGTCAAAGTTTTGCCCAATTACAGATACTTAAAATAATCTCAATGCCTTACAAAAAAAACCAAATTTTGTTTCTTTTAAACATGGTCAATGTTGTCCTAATGAAGAGCAACATATGCACTAATCATTTCAGAAAATACTGTGCCTGCAACTATATGGCCTTTACTGAAGGCTTTAAATTTTGTAACAAATTAAAACAGAATCAATGAATAGTAGAAGAGCCCAGGCTGGAAGGGACCTCAAAAGACTATCTGGTCTGACCTATCATGGCAGAGGGGACACAGATGAGATTATCTAGCACCCTGTCCAATCACATCTTCAAATTAAAGTATTTCTTCACTAGGAAGAACCTCTCCAAACCATCTCACGCTCTGGAAAGGAACACAGTTCAGTGCTTATTAAAAACGTACAGTTGGATCGTCTTCCATTTCACAATACACTAATTCTCAAGGAACAGAGAAAGATGCAAATTATATTACCCCCCTTCTTCCTTAATGATCACATACATACAATTTATCCTTGTCAAAATTTATGCTCATAAAGGCCTTCTTCAAGAGGACAGGATTCACTTTGCATGCAAGCAGAACAGAGTAAGCATCATGCTGAAAAATATCCTACTACAAACCTAAATATGTGGCCACAAATCCTCACTGCCTCATCAATTTCTCAATTTTGAAGTTATCAAAGTATAAATAAGTATAAATAAATACGACAACACCACATTTGAAAGCATTTTCAGCATTCCTAGATCATTTTACCAAAATTCTCTGTTGTGGGTCTTTTCATCATATGGCAGAGAGATGAAAAAAATAATAAATTAATATTAACTAAAAACTAAAAATTAAGGTCAGAGTAAAGCAAATGCTATTATTTTCAGAGTGATTTATAGTAGTATAGATTTTTTAAATCCACTTTAAAAAAAATTCCAAGTACACTAAGCCTTAGCCTATCACAAAACCACGAACGTTGAATACGTTGCAGTTCTCTTGGAGAATCTTCAAATCGTACAACCACAGAGAAAAAAGTAATTTTTTTATGTATAGGTTGCATAGCATTGCTTTTTCCCTTTGCCTTTTTTTTCTTTTTCCCTGATTTGCTTTCAAAACATTTCCCAAGAGCTAATCAGATTGGTAGTCATAAGCTGTTAAACCTGCAAACTAGAATAAAATACTCTTAAACTTTTAAACACTGATTGCAGCAGACACAGCCCTGTTTCTGTAATAAACTGCAGTATACTGAAGTGAAAATGCAGATAAACAATACATGTCACAGCAAATTCTACATCAGTCTAATAGCTGCACTTTGCAAATATTAGTAATACAGAATTTGGGGTTTATTCACATGCAGGTTTTTTTCTCCTTCAATGAAACTAGATTCCTCATCTCCTCTTCAAGTGCAAGCAGTATGAAGTCCATAAATCTATAAAGATCTTGGACAATATTATCAAATCAGAACTTCATGCAAGGCTAAAGATAACATTTCGCTAATAGATTGTTTATTCTCATTAGTTTTAGGTGTTTATTACTAAACACACTTGTACATAGAATTACAAACTCTCAAGAAGTTGATTCAATTTTTTTAAAACTTGAATTCTAGAAAAAGACATACAGGATATTTATTACAGGGGCTTTTGATGAAATGAACTACAAGAGGAAGATTCTGATTTGAATGCAAATACCGTAAAAGAGCCAGTAGACAACCAAGTAATACATGAAAATGTATTTACACTTGTGAGCAACAACAGGAAATGAGAATTTGTAGCTTAGTTGGGACATAATGGAGTAAGAAAACATATGACTCACCTCATAGCAAGTATCTGAATGAATACACATATAAACTTTCTGCTGCATATCTAACATATCCTGGAGCAATTCCTTCCAGTGTGCCTCACTGACTGGTGGTTGCCTACAAACATTTTTAAGATTAATATTCTCTTCCTCAAATAATTTAAAGATAAGTAGATGCTACTACAGTTCCATCATCAAAACAAACACTATTTCAATCTTTAATTAGACTTTTAACCAAAAGTGATTTAAAGGAAGAGTGTTTTTACTATTAGCTAACATTAAAACAGTTTTTGATGACAATAATGCAGTACCTAAAGGTGTTTATTCTGTTTTCTTTCTGTGGGATAAGATGGGGATTCAACCAATCTTTATCAAGATCCTCCAAGTAGCTTTTGATAAGTTCCAACAGTACATCAGAAAAGTTGCAAGTGCTATCTTCCTGCTGATCCAACAACTGGGGAAAAGCAAGTTTGTAACAGCAACCAAGGACCCTTAAAGTGCTGTTCATTGTAGGCAATCTCAAAGGACTAACCAATTGCATGTAATCACAGAAGAACAGAGCTGTTAAGTTTATTCTGTTCCTTAAACTGGAATGGTATTCAGATTTTTGACCCTATGGACCCATGGATCTCTGTTTATCCATAAAGCTTCTGATACAACTTCACGTGCTCTATCAAATCTTTTACTAGTAAAAACACTATGAAGGGGTTTTGACATTATCATGAGCCTTTCACATTAAAAAAGGCTTTAACCTAACACAGCTACTCCAGCTAACAGTGATTTTCTCATGTGGCATTAGTTTCCATTTTAGCAAAGCAAAGGGTCTCTACAAGAAGAGAAAAATCAACATCTTTCCTACAGAGGCATCGATTTATCTTTCTAAAGAAACGTTTTTAGAACTCTTAAAAAGCTTTCAGCATCTCCAAGCTAAATACTACTCTACCATCACTGATAAACTGGAGTGTGTGTTTACTTTTAAGAAAAAAAAAACACACAAAAAATGCATAGTGATGGCTGCTTTCCCCAATCTTTTTATTTGTTTGTGTCAAAAACCACATAATAATTCATCTAGAGTTGGAAGATAAGTTAAATAAAGTAGTTCTTCAACAAATACTGAAAAATGATACTGAAAATATAAGGGGTAGAACCAATATGTAACATCAATAAATTAACCTATTACAAAAGCTCCTAGGAAAACAAGCCAAAAAAAAAAAAAAAGTTGTTATACAAATCCTACACTCTCAATAAAATTGAATAGGAATTCAAGAACCTCATTTACAATATGTTAACTTTTACTGTTCATCATCTTGCAGTAGTTTGCAGCTAGTAAGCCTTTTAGGCTTCTTTACTTCAACACAAACATACTGAAATATGTTTGAAGCAGGAAAGCATGTTTTGAATGTGGAGAATGCAGCCAAAACACTATTCATATTTCTCATCACATTTACAAATGTTTTATATACACCATGTTCCTGTTTTAACATTACAGTTCCCTCCTGCACCAAAACTGGCTGGCAGGATAAGTACTGTTACCTTACTGTCCCTTCCCCCTTATCTCCCATTCCCCTTTGAATACTCACTTGCGACCTGTGTGCCTCGTCAGCCTAATCATCAGCTTCCGTGCCTCCTCTGCATTGTCCTTGGTGCCTCTCACAAAGGATACAGGTTTCTGAAGCCCATGTTTCTCCAACAGCTCTGACACGCTGTAAATGAATAGTCAATATTTTGGAATCCTGCACATTTACACAGCTACCTCTGCCGCAGCAGTCTTAAAGCTCTCTCAATATACTGCAAATGCAAACAGTCTCCATAAAGTCAATAACAGTATGGATTAGCCAGAGTAGCATTATTTGCCTAAAAGAAGTTAATGTTGTAAGCTAAAGGCATATCACCAAGAACCTGATGACATGTTTTCACAGCTTTTAGTTTTTGATCGCTCAAAGCAACACGGAGTATCAAGATGAAAACAAAATCCCCCAGTAACCTTCCTCTCCCACCAAAAAAAAAAAAAAAAAAAAAAAACACAACTTTTATTCAAAGGAAAATATCTGTGCCATTTTATAATATTCAAATAGGTAAAACCAACAGCACTAAAACCAAGATCAATATTCTTACTGCTTTCTTGTCATAAAAAGAAAAGTTCTTGGTTATGTGTAGTGACTTCTGTAAGAAACTATGTTACATTATTTATTTTAGAAAAATTAAATACCTAAGAATTTGTTCCAGTTCATCTACTTCATCATGAAGAGCATTAGTTTTATCTGTTTCAGGCCTGCAAAGATATTATACAATTAAAAATATATATTCATACTTCCAGTAATTTCCTCATGCAATTCATATTACATAGATATAAGCAGTTTGAAACACCATCTATCCTTTAGTGACTTTATTTTTATAACATGAATTCACAACTATATGTAACATACATAAAATATTTACAACTAAGTAGCTGAAAACGTTTACCCATATCCTCTTTGTGGAAGACATTCCAAAATATCATAACAGAGAGAGAGCTGGTCATCTCGTTCAGAACTATAAATACATTCCAATGCAGTAATCATAAGCTGGTCTTGATCAGGAATAATTTTTTGCTGACACTAACAAGAAAAGAAAGCACATTATTTTTGGTTTTCTGTTTTGAATTCAACCATTAAGTTTCTTCTGAATATAAAAATGTGTACTCCAAGTAAATAAATTTTAGTTGTGATTAGAATGTCTCTTGCTAACAGCTTAGTGAAGTACCTGTCGAAGTTACAGCCTGAAACATAACTAAGCTACTTCCCTGTTCTGCAGACACTGGGAAGAGAAGTGGTACACCCTCATACCCTTTCTGAATATGAGAGGTGGAACAGGTGCAGGGCAGAGGAAGGCACCAGCTGCAAATGCTCATCAGCATTATTTAATGTATACAACAGTACCAACATCCATAAAACAGCCATGGATTTCCTTTCCTGGTTAATTTCTGTCCATATGCACAGAACATTCAAATGCAAAAATGTGATTATGTGCCCTGGAATAAATATTTAAACCCTGGAAGTAGCATGAAATCTTCACATGGAAGGTAACTTCCACCCATACTCATTGAACTCTTGGCTCCATCCTGATAAGCCCCATTTCATTCTTTACATTTGCTGTAGAAAGGAGAGGGAGTGGAATAACTTTAAATCTGCTGTTTGTAAAATTCCTCAGGGGGAAAAAAAAAAAAAAAAAGTCTAGTGAGATCATGATACTCATATACATTTTTCAAAAATCCAATATGCCAGGAATTTATTTCAAAACTGATTTCTGTTCTATTAAATCGAGATCATAATTACATTAATTTGACAATCTCATCAACAGTTTAGTTGCATGACAACTTACGCTATAATACTTTTAAAATAAGTTTTTTTTAAAACAGATCCTGTTTTTTTATAACAGATCCTGTTTTTTTATAACAGATCCTTAGGCCAAGAAGAAGGGAAAGATCAGAGGGAAGATCTGATTTAAAAGATGAATAAACTGTATTTATGAATTCACCTTTTCAGGACGAGAATTTCCAAAAAAATCAGCAGAATCATCAGGGCTCTATACTTACAGTCGGTTTTGAATTCTGAAATATCTTCAGAGGTAGAGTCAGGTCTTCCTTTGCTAATGTTACTAAATATTCCTTAAAAAGTGAATTTGCAAGACCAGGCGACCGATTTTCACAGCGGTGCAGAAAAGGGATCATCCACTGATAAACATTCTTCACGTATTTTTCATCAGAGGACTAGAAAGTGCAATGAGTTAGAGAGAGGGAGAAAAAGTTCAGCTCCATGTCTAAAACAAAGAAGAAAACCAAAAACCAAACAGAACGAATTTTGATCAATATAACTCAAACAGTATGACAAAACCCATGACAAAACCAACAGTTGAAGCCTGTCATTCACCACTGCTGCATATATCAATCCATCATGAAATCCTGAAACAATCCATCATCTTTGTGCTACCCAATGGCTTGGGGGAACCAGGCAGTACAGGAGTAAAGCCTGTTACATGGGGAGAGCCTGTCTGTCTTCCTCCTGTAGGTTCAGAATGAGTGAAAGATGGGCATACATGGACAAAAAGACATACATGGACAAAATGACTAACAGGTCTTCGAAAAAGAGTGAGCCATTTTTATTTATTTGTTTTAAAGAGAAGAAAAAAACACCACCACAATGGGGAACAGTAAAACTGTTGAGTTTTTGTTGAATTAAAGATGCAGATTCTTCAGAAAAATGTCAGCCACTAACAGTGGCTGACATTTTTCCCACCTGGAGTACTGCATCCAGTTCTGGAGCCCTCATTACAAGAGGGATTTGGACCTCCTTGAACGTGTCCAGAGAAGGGCCACGAGAATGATCCAAAGGCTGGAGCAGCTCTCTTAGGAGGACTAACTGGGAGAGTTGGGGCTGTTCAGTCTGGAGAAGAGAAGGCTCCGAGGTGACCTTATTGTGGCCTTCCAGTATCTTAGGGGGGCCTACAAGAAAGCTGGGGAGGGACTTTTTAGGATATCGAGTAACGACAGGACTAGAGGGAATGGGGCAAAGCTGGAAGTGGGCAGATTCAGGCTGGGTGTGAGGAAGAAGTTCTTCCCCATGAGAGTGGTGAGACCCTGGAATGGGTTGCCCAGGGTGGTGGGTGAGGCCCCATCCCTGGGGGTCTTTAAGGCCAGGCTGGATGCGGCTCTGGGCAGCCTGATCTAGTGGGAGGCGTCCCTGCTCATGGCAGAGGGGTTGGAACTGGGGGATCCTTGTGGTCCCTTCCAACCCTGACAGATCCTGATCCGCTTTAGCAGAGGACTTGGTAGTGTTGGCTTAATGGTTGGACTTGATGGCCTTAAAGGTCTCTTCCAACCTAAAGGATTCTATGACTCTATAGTATCTTTATATAGACAGGATTCAGGGTTACCTGAATTACTGGAAGTCTAGATATATTTACTGATTTATTAAAAATACTCACATTCTTCATCAACAGTCTCAGCTTCTCAATGTCTTTCATCTCGACAAGTTCCTTCAAAGTTAATGTTCGATCGCCATCAGTCTCATAAACTATAGTCTCAAGGGTGATCAGATTGTCACAGAGCACCTGCAGACCAGGAATATTCCTTTCCATGCCAAGACGAACAAGGGACAGAGCACAGTCCACCTGAAAAATAGTAAAAACCATCTGCTATACAACTGTTTGCAAAAAAATAACTAAGTCAAATCTGTGTGCTACTTGTGTGTCTATTTTTCCCTGTTACTTTTGCTTAATAGGCAGTTCTTAATTTTCCAGAATTTTTTCTGGACTATATAAAACTGAAAAGAAAAATCCATTTACAAAGACCAAACAAAATGCTTAATCTTAGTGGATGATTCATGATAGTTTTTGACTCAGATGCATCCTATTGACGCACATAAATTAAGCAAACACTACTTCTGGAGATCACACACAGAGACACATCGTGTCATCTCACTACAAGGAATACGAAGGATTGATTTAAACCAAGATAATCATTTAACTGACTCAATTTATGCATATGTCTGCATGTAACTTCACTTTTCTAGCTGACCATGAATTAACCATTTTAACTGTTTCATTTTATTTCACAGAAGATGATGACAGTCTTTTTCCCTGGTGACTGAAAATACCTTTATATGAAAGACCGTGTTTCAATTTCTAAGAACACAATTTTGGCTATACATACTCAGTGAGGCAGACCTAAGTCTGGAAGAATAAAATGCAATTCCATGTAGTACATTAGTAATTTAATTGATCCCTGGAAGTTGCTTTTATTTCCATACCTACTGAGATGCTGTTAAGATCACAAGGAACTATGATTACAGAGCCCTGGAGGATGCAAACTCAAAGAATAAAAAGATCTTGCCCATCAGAACTAGCTCCTAATGCTAGCCAACCTCCTTTTCATGCAGCTAAATTGGCTTGAGAAGCAATAAAATACTGGAGCACATCAGTGATGGGCTCTATTCTTACTTCCAATGCTTATCTTCATGACAGAGACCTTCACACATTCTTAAAATATGAAGAGAATAAAGCAAAAGTAAGCTGCATGGTAGTCCCACAGACACAATAAACCTGCCAGGAAGCAATGATGACAGTACTACATATTGGCATATGCCAGTGACACATGCAACTGCCACACATGGATATATATAGCAGCATATCTGCACCATGTGACAGATAATAAAACGTTTCCCAATACCCTGTGCACAACACTCCCTTCCTTAATTACAGACATAAAACATAATGGTAAACATTTTTCATGGACTACAAAATTGCTACTGTCTGCTAAGACAAGCTGACTGAAAGGGAATCTACCAGCTTCCTATTCATTCCTGTGGATCAGTTATTTGGCTGAGCAAACTTAAGTACATCTCAAAAGAAAAAACAAATACCTGAAAAGCAGTAACGAAGATTGAGACAGTGTATATTACTGTTAATACACCTCAGGACAGGAGGCTGTTGCAGAGGGCTGATCAGCCTGAGTCAGCCCCTGCCATCTCCTCTCTGCTGCTCTCACCTGCATGGCGTACTTCTCAATTTCCTGTGCTCTGCTCAAGTACCAATCAGTTACCAGCTCCACTGAAAGGTCAGTCGTCCTGTACTTCACTAGCTCAGGTTGTGTTTCATACAGAAATTCTCCTTCATCTTGTAAAGATGGCTCAACAATCATCCTTTAAGGAAAGAAAAAAAAAAAAGTTTAAATGCATATTTGCTTGCATTTTTTTCACATCAATATTTTTCCAAAAACTTCTGATTGTTCTGAAAGACAATGATACAGTCAACCTACTATTACACCAATAATTTAACGAGACTCAAATGTCAATCACAGCAAGTGGCAATTTTTATCAGCAAAGTAACTAGTAAGGGACCCTAAACATGAGATAGATCATGAAAGAAAAAAAACTCTCCACTAAAGACACAGGTAAACCCAACCTCTGCTTTCCATCTGGTTCCTCACACAATGAAGGGCACTTTTGTGATCCATTAATGTTGCTATGGTAACACCATGGCTGACAAGTAGCAGTGCAGAAGGAAAAATAAATCAGATTTCCAACAGTAACCTCCCCCGGGCTCATGTGCATTTGAGAAGTTACTTGACACAATCACACTGAACACAATGCTGCAGCATGCCACAGTGTTTGCCCAGTCAGACTCCCTAAAGAAAGCTGAAAACAGAAGTTAGAGTGCACAAAAATAAGAAGTGAGTCTTACTGTATATTTCCCACATTTTAAGAACTAGTAAATAAAATATTTATCTGAAATGTACGTAAATGAAAAAACAACTTTTTGCCTTTTCTATACCCTTACCTACATTCTGCTTTCTCACACCAGTCTTCTTCACGATGTTTCTGCTCATTCCAAGGAAGAATCTTCAGTGTCCCCTGCCTGTAACTGGTATAACAGAAAAGGAAAGCTTTACACAATTTTTTTTTCCTTAAAATTGTGATGGCATTCAAATAATGGAACACAAAACATATGCAGTATTTCAGTGAATTCATACTAAGTATGCCATTTAATTATTGTATCAATTCTTTTGAGATTTCTTATTTCTTAATGCAGCTTTACAAGTGTGGTTTTGCCTGTATGTTATATCTAAAACACATTCTGCCTATACCACTAAGAATCCACTAAAAATATTAATAAATTAATTTTCTTACTGACCATACCTTTAGAAAAAAAAGGAAAAAAAAAAGGAAAAAAAAAAGGGAAAAAAAAAAAAACAGGAAAAGAAAATACTATGTGGCTTTAAAAATTTTTACCACTTCACAGTAAACATTCTAATTTCATAAGCTGCCATAGAAAACTGAAATTAGTAAAAGCCTCTGATTACCACAGCTTAAAAAGAAAAAAAAAAAAATATTACAGAGTTCCTCAAATATTAGCACAAGTCCTTATACTGGAACAAAACAAGATATGTCCTGCTGTAATGATCTTCTCAATTAAGTTTCATGTGGTTTTCTGACTACAAACTTGTACAGTGAACATTCTCTAAATATTGAGGTTGAAAAACAAAACCTGTTTAAGATGCAGACTAAAGAATACCACTGTTTAAGCAGCATAAAATCCTGTCAAGCTATTCACAGCATAAACTAAGGTGGAAGAGAAGAGCCATATAGTTTATGGCATTTGTAGAAATAAGAAAAACCATGTACAAAGTAAAGACATTAAAGTTTCATGATACTAGAGCACTAAGCTATTTTGAATTTCCTTTTTTCCTGACCCCAAAAACAAACAGCAATTGCAATAATACACTGAAAATCCCTGCTTAAAAGTTAACAACTGACAACCTTCTCATCCCTTGAAAGGCAGCACTGTAACTCAGTGACTTAAAAAGAAACACAAAGAAATCAACTTCACCATACAGTAAGAGTCAAAAGAGCAAACTAAAAATCAGTAACTCCATGCTGTTTAGCAACAGCCATTAAACATATTAATAAAGCAAGGCACGTCCATACCACCTGCTCTGGCCTGCACACATACACCTCTCACCCAGGTCAGCCACCCCTCCTTTCACTTCTCTACACACTAGCAAATAATATCCTGTGGTTTATTACAGTAATTCCAACCCTCCAAATGAAGCACGCAGTAGAAATGCAGCAGTAAGTCCGCAGAGATAGATTTGCAGGCTACAAAAGCAAGAAGAAAGGAGGAGAGAAGATGGAAAGCTGCCAGTTCCAGTGTCTCAGCTATGGTAATATCTGCATTCCGTTCCAGTTCATTAGACAAAACACTCCACAATTGTCTTTACCATTAGGTACCACGTAGTAATGTCACTAAAAAATAATTAATAAAAAACTACTAGTTAACATTTATGGTATAAGCACCAGGAATAAAGTCACCTTCTGATTTTAGAAAGGTTCATCATCAGGCTGTGTATTTGGATGATTTGGTGAAGAGGGGGGTGTTATTTTTAAAGTTTTAGATAACATAATTCACAATTAATTTTAAATATTAATTTTTTAAACTGGGTTCATAAAATCAATTAATACAGTCATATTTCAAACATCAAACATGAGAATGTTATGATGGAAGGCTTAGTTTGTAATGAAAAGGTTCCCTTTATCAGCTGAAATGCCAAATAACAGAAAAGCCAAAGTGTGACTCCCTTCCAAAGCATAAAATCTTAACAGCACAAGAAGGTCTTCAGGTTATAATCAATAATGCTTTCCTTTCCTGTGTGCTATTGAACATAAAATTGGACAAAATTTTATTGCCCAAGACAATTTCTTTTCCTAGTAAAATGTTTCCATTCACTTCCCAGTAGGCTTAAGAAGATATTTCAGGGGGGATTGGTTGGTTATTTTTTGTGGGGGTTTGTTTTGGTTGGTTGGTTTTTTTTTCAGGGGAAGTGAGTGTCTTCATTTGGTTAATATTAACACATCTTATGGGGCAAAAAAATAAAAGGGAAAACAACAGCTTTTTACATTAGTGGACAGACAAAGGTTTCATCTTACAAGCTGTTTCACATCAAGTCTGCAAAATTGTAGCAGAAATACTATATGAAAGAAGTAAGAGACTTTCAGGCAACAAATCCAATTTCACATCACAGATAGCTTTTTATTCCAACATTAGCTACACACTTCAGTATCTTAACTAGTGTTCTGCCTCCAAGAATTGAAACACTAACATTTTTTTATTGTATTAACAACAACAACAAAACTCTTAGCTACACTACAGGCCTGTACGACTTTAACGCTGGGTTTACTGTCAGACTTGATGATCCAGTCTTTTCCAACCAAAATGATTCTAAGCTTCTACATCAAATCAAATAATTTTAACAATCTTTCATTCGTTCAAACATCAGAGGTAAAAAGAGACTCAGCTGGTGGCAAGGATCAGCTGGCAGTGGAAGTTCTCAGAGGAGCCTAAAGGCTTGGACAGTTCCAGAAGCTGAAGAATCACAGTCAAGCTAAGAGGGCAAGATGTGGTGTGAGTGCTCCTTCCCTTGGACTCTTTTCTATAGCTCCACTATGAACAGCATGAATAGTACTAAAGTCATCCCCTGTCTGCAAGTCTCTCTCTCACCTCATTATTAAGATAACATATTGGTTGAGTCACCATCCCTGGAGGTATTTAGAAGTTGTGTATATGTGGTACTTAGAGACATGGTTTAGTAATGGACTTGGCAGTGTTAAGTTTACCATTGGACTTGAGGATCTTAAGGGTCTTTTTCAACCTGAATTATTCTATGATTCTATTAAAGAGAACACAACCTGTGCCCCTACCCTTCTACTCCAAATTCTGGTTTTTGCATGAGTCTCTAAAATACCTGACTGCTGGGGGAGCCATTTACTTGTCACATTACAAGTAAACAATTATATCAAGAGCCATTAGGAAACAGCAGCAGAAACTATTATTGTATTTACTCTAAAAGGAAATTCCTGTTCCAAGTAGTAACTTGCAGTCCACTCACAACTCTATCAAGTAAGAGCATCCCATCTGAATCAGTCTTTCCATACAACGTGAGAGCCTCAGGAGAGACTTTTGGAAAAGCTGCTTTGGTTTGGCTGCTCTTTCACTGTTGTCAATGAAAGAAAGAAGCCATGCAAAACAGTAAGAAAGGAGGTGTGCACATTTAATGGATATTTAAACTTCAAGATTTTCCTCTTTTGGCTAACTTATTAAAAGAGAAAATCACAAGAAAGAAGCAAGAACAGCAGAAGTTTAGAACACAAATTTAAAGCCAGCCTTGCATTAACATGGGATCTGCAGGACAATGAACGAAGACATTCTAAAATTCATACACACTTCTAATACTGCTATCCCTCAGTATGACACCTGAAGAAAACAAACAAAAAAATCTCTATGGATCCAAGCCTATACTGCTAAATACTACATTGAGCGCATTCTTCTTAATTAAGCTGCCACATTCTGCATAGAATCATAGAATCTTTTAGGCTTGCAAGTTACTTTCTAGAATTTCAGCTCCAGTTAAATTGTTTCTTAACAGATTCAGTAGCACAAAAAGCTTATGATTAAAGTTGGCAAAACTTGCAATTTTTCTTAACTGACCTGAAAATGAGGATGAATTATATGTTTCTTCCTTCCAATTATTTTTAACATAGTTGAGCCATTTTCCTGACCCTCAAACAATTATTAGAAGCTAAACAGTTTCATTTTTATGCAAGCAAGAGTTATCCACTCAGCCTAAAATCAAAAGTTACTAAAAAACACTCGTTTTTGCAGATTGATGGAATCACCTGTCTGGCCCTTCTCCCCAGCTCATTCCAGAAAATAATCTCTATTTCTGTCTCCACATCCAAAAGTAGGTATTTTCTTCCCTAGTCCTTAAACAGGAATTATTTTGGCTTTAAAAATATTCTCCCCAAGAAAGATTTAATTTGAATTCAAGTTCCCAGACTTTGCTCTCTTTAACGGTTGCTTTGCTTCCATTTTTCCCCTCACCTCCAAAATCCATCAAGTGAGGAAGCAATGTGCAACTCTGCCTCCCTCTGCCTACCTTCAGTGGAGTACAATAGAAATAAAGTTGAAAAGTACAAAGACAAGCAATGTAAGTGTGTGATCATCCCTTGTGTAAAAGCCAGAGCAGACTGACGAATCCTAGAAGAAAGAAAACAACCACTATGCTAAGACTGATGTAAAGCTGTTCATTTTTTTGTTTCATTTAAGCAGGAAATGACAATTCACTGTTTTTACTTCCTACAACACTGTAAGCACTGATGAGACTAGCACGGCCTCATTTAAAACAAACAACAGCAGATACTGTCTTACACCATATGCAGCTAAGCTGTTAACTACTTGCTGCATGACACAGAAGATAAAACACTGTGTATTTGGGTTAAAAAACAGAATTATGGGAGTAAAGTGTCATGGAAGTCTCCTAAAACATCTAGTTCAGAAACATTTGAGCCACATATTGTAGACACACAAACATGCGCTGCAATGTGGTTGCCTGGACCTATTTTTTTCCTTGGTAACTGCTGTTGGCCATTTCCCTTCTAGGCAAACCACCAAGACCAATCTCATGTTTCAGCACAAGATTTTGCAGGAATGAAACCTACAGATATCCAGACACATCTGTTGAAAAAGTACTATAAACATACTTCAAAAGTTTTTTTCATAAAGGGCCTATTAACAGACCTCACCATGAAATACTAAAGAGAAGACTTTGATTTATGGGAAAGAATTGTCATGCAGTGAAATCTTGACCAGAAAACATCTGCTCCATCTTTTTTTCCCCTTCTCACAGCAGAAGTTAAATACTCTATGTAAATACTCTATGAATCAGGCCTACGGATAAGCCACGGAAAATTCTTTTTAAAGTATTTTCTGCTCTGGCTCAACTTGCTATTTTTCAGGTTTGTCATAGGAGTGAGTAAATTGAGAGAGGTCAATTCACCAAGAGTCAAGCAGCACTCAGTAACTACCTC